GAGCACAAATAAAAGCCAGACGAGTCTCCCGACGAGCACGAGCACGAGTAATGTGGACGCGCCTTTTGGAAAACCGTTGATTTTTGCGTAATCTTCGCGTGTGTTCAGAAGACCTTTCTTAATTGCTGAATATACTAAAAGTCAGGAGATATACGCATGGCATACTAATTCTTGTTTAATTTTCTAGAAAAACACGTGACATGTAAGGAAAGAGTCTAATTGGGAACGTCAATATGTTTAATCTTTATTTACAACTTTTGTTGGAAACATTTAAGGAGGAATTAGGATAGATACCTGCGCCATAGCTCAAGCGCCTAGTTGCTGGCTTCCTACCGCGGTGGCCCAGCTTCGATCCCGGGTCTGGTCAAGTGGGATTTGTGGTGGACAAAGTGGCGCTGGGGCAGGTTTTCTCTGAGTACTTCGGTTACCCCTGCCAATCTTCATTCCACCAGTCGCTCCACAATCACCCTCACCTATCATCTGGGGCTGGTACAATAGGCCAGAAATGGCCTCGGTACAAGGGACTTAGTCCCACCCCACTAGCAATAAAGAAATAGGACTGATACACGCAGGCACGTATGTAGGTCTTCATGTAAATTGTCAACCAAAGTTGGAACGATTCGACAAAATTTTAGTAGGACTTCCCAATTTCAGATTCGATGAAAATCCATTCAGCGGTCCTTCAGTTAACCTCATTCTTCCAGGCCTGCTGACGGAGCCATCTATATAGGCACTCCACGGCGTTACGGGTTCGTCGGAATTCAATCCAATGTACTATTAACATATCGGAAGCCATGCGCATGTGCACTGCACTTAGATCTACATATACAACAATTTTTGTGATCATGAGATTTATCATTATCACTGCGCAATTTCGGGTTACCATGGCAACGAATTGTCGAGCTTTAACACGAACGAGCGTTTTACGAGTATTAATAATATTTTGATGCGAATATGAGTTCGGAAGTACGCCGTGTAAAGGAAACGGTGTACGATTATGCGTGCTATCCATGGGAGATGGATGCGTTAAAGTCGGCGTCACCAGTGAAATGTTTGATAACACGTGTGACTGAAAAGGAATGGGGAGAAAGCAGGGAAAGTTAATAGTAGGAAAGTGAGGTCGCACCATAGCTCAAGCGGTTAGTCGCTGGCTTCCCACCGCGGCGGCCCGGGTTCGATCCCGGGTCTGGTCAAGTGGGATTTGTGGTGGACAAAGTGGTGCTGGGGCAGGTTTTCTCCGAGTACTTCGGTTTCACCTGCCAACTTCATTCCACCAATTGCTCCAAAATCACCCTCACCTATCATTTGGGGCTGGTACAATAGGCCAGAAGCGGCCGCAGTACAAGGGACTTAGTCCCACCCCACTAGCAATAAAAAAAAAGTTTAGTAATGTAGTAGGAAATCCCATAGAACGAATTATGAGCCTTCTTGTTGAATTCTTAATGATTGTTACAATAGTAGGTGTATATTGCTCGAAATTTATACAAGATTTTTAATTTAAAATTAATGTTTCCACCAAAAAGTTCTGTTGCTTTCGATAAGAGAGACATCTAAACGTACTCTTACTTAAAAACGAATAACTGTATTTTTATATAGTCTGTATAAGATACTTGTATGCAAATGAGACTCAGCATAGCTGCTGAACTCGGATGGTGCGGATGGTGAAGGCAGCTGTATGGGGTTTCCCATATACGATCCATGTATTATTAGGTCATATCAGGAATGTACAAACCTTAAATAACACACGTAAAGATGTAACCCCCCCCCCCCCATTTGATGCGTTGAAGCGAAAACAGGTGATCATATCGCGGAGAGTCGACAAGCGATGGTCCTCCAGTAAGAGAGCTGGATGAAGGCTAACTCCTCATGGCCAACTATTGGCATGTTATAAGTGTTATACATTGTCTTTTTCCAAAACATTCATCTGAATATGACTCATGGAAACAAAAAATGGGCAAAGATTTGAGGCCTGGATTGAGGAATATATGATGGAAGGTTTGTGCTGAATTTATTTGTCTTAGGACAGGTCACTTTAAATAGGTCATGGCTGCTTTTTCTGTTATCCCTCCACAGTCATCATTTTCATCTTACAGTGTATAATTCAAATCTATCATTCGACAGCGTTGTGCAAGAACCAAACCGCTACGAATTTGATTCACGGGAGATCATGGCCCTCGTTCTAACCGTGGCACAAGTTGTTACCATCTGTAGATTAAAATTGTTGACCTGTAGGAAGCGTTATTCCGTAATTATGCCAACTGACACGATGACGCAGTTTGCTTCCTGTCCTTGAGAGGTTTCAGGTCGACCATCGAAAAGAGGAGGGGTTGTGGTAAAAGCTGTCAATTAGAATCTTCCTTCTCAAAGTCACGGTTTACTCATTCACAACACTGACTTAACACATAAGCTAGGTGTGTGAAAATGCTAAGGTTGTAAGGTTGTGAGATTGATGGGACTGGTTTCTTGTCATGTCCAATTACAGGCTTCGTGTTGGAAGTGGATGGATCTGCCTTATTGTCATGTTCAGTATTATTTGCTTTGGGTTGCAAGGTTGGGAGGTGGGTGGATGTAGTATGATGTTAACACTGTAGCATTAATTAATTAAACACCACACCATGAAGTTGTATGGGGAAGTATTCTTAACCTTCACACTACATGGAGGTGTTCAACTTCACCCCTGGGAAAGAGTCCCCAATACTTACTGAACAGGAGGCTGGGTGGGCCCCAGAGCCAGTCTTTACGATAAGGAGAACAGAGAAGTCTTTTGCCCTTACCTGGAATTGCACCCAATTTCTCGGCCATAGCACGTCGTTATACCAACTGAGCTATCATGGTTCCTAAAATTGACTCTAGCTAATCTGCAAATATCATGAAAGACTTGTATAGGCTATTACGTAAACTAGGTGTAAGGCCAATTTATGTTGTAATAGATTGCAGATAACTGCTTTACCGACGCTTGTAAGGTATGACTGTTCCTTGGGCTTCATTAGAGACCTGTTTCATTGCCCACTATGTCTGCAGGAGTCGCTGAACTCACTTGTGGGTCGAAATAACATCTGCACCTTCTAGAGAGAGCGATCATGTTCAGTGAACGCGGTTACTTGACGTCCCTCACAAGGGTCCTGGCAAGGAAACCCTCTCAAGGGCTCACTGTTTGGTGCTGCAGTTGCTGTCTCCCAAAGGCAGCTAGAGATGAGACTGGTGGAGTCAAAATGATTCACATCTGTCCCAGAACAGAGGAGAACTATGAAGAAGACTGTGCTATAGCTGGAGAGGAACTTGTGCCAGTGCAGAAGATGCATCAGGCCCCAACTAAGGAAAGGAGATATTCAGATGGAAGAAAAATTGAATCATCTGTGGTGAAGCAGGACCATTTATCGGCCAAGGAAGAATGGCACCGCAACATAGACAGTCGTCAAGAAATGGAGGAGGATGTTCCGATGTTAAGGAGGCACCTGTCATCAGACATAAAAAAACGATATGTTAATTGTGAAAACGTGGGGATTCCAGTGATCAGAATGCAACATGTCCATGGCGATGATAGTGAAGAAGGTAGATTAATTGAGATTTGTAAACGAAGCCATTTGGGTTTGTTAACCCTTTGAGTACCATGCTGAAGTACATTTGTATACAGGCATGTTCAGATCTTGGAAAAATATGTTGACCCCTGCACTTCAAAGTAACAGTTTAGCAACCACCATAAATTCTTTGAATGGGGAGAACTTTCTGTTGTAACTGCATGAGTTTAACCCCCCTGAAGAATTAATTTATGACAAAACATGCAAGTTATATAAAAGTTCTATACACTTTAAACAAAATAATCAAGTAACTTCATGGATTAGGGTCATTCTTGAGAGGCTCATGGTCATGAAGCTAGTCATGAAATTACACACCTTCCATGGAACCCAAAAAACATGCTACTCCACCCTATCCTGAGTCAGTTGAATGCAGTTCACACTCTGAGACCTTGTTCTTTAAGACCTTTTTTGAAATTATTCTCCCACCTACACATCTCTGAAGTGGTCCTTTCTCTTTAAATTTGTAACTAAAATGTTGTATGTATTTCTCATACATGTCCTCTTCATCATAAATTCCTTGAGTTTATCACACCAACATTTAAAAACTAATACACAGATACAGGGTCTACAATTTATGATGCTGTGAACATAAATGTAAAGTGGGCTTATGGTGTAATGGCTGAATCTTGTAATGAAAACCCTATATAAAGGTCTTCTGGGATGTGCCACCGTGTGGTATGATACGTGTAGGTAGGTACAGACACTCACAGCAAAGTTGGTACCTGTTTTCCACACTACTCAGAACATCCAAACTCATGTAACTAATACTGTGCACTGTTGATATGCTTTTCTCTTAGCCCACTTTCCTTATTTTGGAAAAAAAAAAAAGTAGGCTTAATGAGATCACCATTCTGTGTGCTTGTGTCTGTATGTGTATCCCCCCCCCATCAACTTTTGAATGCCTGAACTAATCTTCATGAAGCTTGGTATATATAGCACATGAGCCCATTTTAACGGTGTACTTCATAAATCCTTGTGTGTCTCTATGTATATACACTTATCATTGATAGACAGTGACTTGGTAAAAACGTTACTGTGGTAACGAATAGACACGGAACAATAGAAGAATTGCAGGACATATCATTTTCTGTGTGTTCCATGTTGTATCCAAGAAAAGTAGGCAGTTATTTCTTCCCAGAACTTCTTGTTGTTATTTAATGTCCAAAATTACTCTGTGTTGATTCATATTTTGTTTGTTTTAATATATAAAAGTCTTCATTTTTTAAATTATGATTTACAATTGCATCCATGCATACATGTATATATACACAGAAGTGGAAGGCATATACTCTTAAAAATTTGGCCTTTGACACAAACACATCCAGTGTCAGCATTGACGAACTTTCTAAATTGGTGGAATATTTGTTTCACAATAGTTAACATTTTATCTTTGTGGTTAAAGACTGTGTGTCTTTGTTACAGGTGATGCCAGCTTTACAGATGAGATACCTCCTGTAGTGTTACCTTCTCACAGCAAAAGTGCAGGTCCATCTCCAATAGTGGGGGCTGGTGCCCGAAAAGGTTCTGTCAGTATTAGTTCTGAGGAGTGGCCAGCTTCTCCTGATGAAGATATTGACCGTCTGGTTGCTATTCATCTGCAGCAAACAGGCTTGTCCACCTCACTTGGGGTGAGTATTTTGAATGCAGGAAGAGAAGACCAGAATTCGCTGTCTCAGCTAGTGCACATAAATTAATTCTTCACAATTCTCATCATAAGTAGAATGACCAGTGAAAGTTCATGGTCCCTGAGGGACATAATGTGGAAATATAATAATTATAATTAATTTAAGTGGTCTAGTGGTCAGAGTTCCTGGCTACAGATCCAGAGGTCCGGGTTTGATTCCCGGCGCTGCCAGATTTTCTGGGAAGTAGTGGGTCTGGAATGGGATACACTCAGCCTCATTAGGATAACTGAGGAGCTATTTCAAGGAAATAGCGGCTCCGGTCTAGAAAACCGAAATTAACGGCCGTGGGGATTCTTTACACTGACGACACGACGCTGTATGTGGTAAAGATGGCACTAATTCGCCAACAAGCAGTGGTGGCTCGGTCGGTATAGTAACAGATTCACTGTTGAATATATCGGTGCCAGTACACTACTGACAATTAATAATCAACTAATAAGTAAAGTAAAAAGTAAAGCTATCCCTGTAACAGGCCATGAAGGCCAATAGCGTTGTGAGACATTGAGGGTCCCACGTTATCTAGACACTCGGCTCAAAGATGGCGGTAAGGTTGTCACCCTTACGCACCGCCGTGCTTTACTCCCAGGAAAATTATTTAATTAATTCCTGGTACTCATTTCTGTTAGAGGCTGAGTCAACCCCAGGGCCACAGTGTTGCTGAAAGGATTAGGTCACTTGAAAAGAATCAAATGACCTCATCGGGACTTGAACCCGCGACCTTCTGGCTTGTAGCATAGTGCCTCAACCAACTACGCTACCACGTGCCCCAACTAATCAACTAATACCATTTTTTTTAATGACAAACACCTCTCTCTGTTAGTATTTCTGTCACATCTAAATGGCCATGTGTACTGTACAAATGCTAACATGTATTATGTTGAAATATAACTGAAGAACTATCATCAACTATACTGCATATTCAAAATTAGAAATTAACCACAAGGGATGTGAAAGAATTAATTTGTCAGGTATTTCTTTATGAGATGGGCAGGACATATGGCACGCCTGGGAGAAGAGGAATATATATAGGAATTTGGTGGGAAATCCAGAAGGGAAGATACCACTAGGAAGACCTAGATGTAGATGGGAAGATAGTATTATGCTGGATCTTAGAGGGATAGGATGGGGTGGCATGGACTAGATTGATCTGGCTCAGGATAGGAACTCTTGTGAACACAGCAATGAACCTCCTGGTTCCATGAAATTTTTGGAAATTCTTAGTAGCTGCACAACTGGTGGCTTCTCAAGAAGGGCTCAGCTCCATTTAGTTAGTTAGGTATGTCTTTCTGGGATATATTGAAAATAAAAGTAAATTTATTTGATGTGTCTAGTGGAAGTCTGTGCAAGTAGTAGTAATTTCAACACAGTTTAGATGCTAAAAGGAAATGAAATGCAAAAGCAGTTGATATTATATATATTAGACCATATGTGGTCTCTCATAATAAAATGTATCTTACGAAAGAGAATTATTACTTATTAAACTATTGAATTATCCAGTAGCACCAAATGTTAATTATATAGAACCTGTAATCACTGGTGCATGTTAGTATCTTAGCTGGTGCCAAACTTGGCAGAAATGCCAGTGATTTGCCATCCCTGTCATGTAGTCCACAGTTTCTCTTAAGAATCTCATTTCAGCCCCTTCTGACTTTTCTCATGTTATTTAGCTGCTCATAAAGCCATTTGAGACTAATACTGTTTTGTGACTTGTATTATATATAATGATACTGTATCATCTGCATGAATTATATATCTAAGTCTAGTGGCTAATCTTAATTTGGATTGATGTGCAGCCACGTAGTGACTCGCTGGCGAGTGTGTACTCTGGTGCTGGTGAGGGACATTATGGCACTGTAACAGTGAGAGGGGAAGTGGAGTTTGGGTTGGAGTACAACTACAAGGCAGTGACATTGGAAATCCACGTGAAGCAGTGCCGAGACCTTGCTCCTGTCGACAGCAAGAGAAACAGATCTGATCCGTGAGTACTTATATGTCTCCTCTCTTCAAGGGTGAGAAAATGCATATTTTCTCTGTCATAAGATATATCCATCTCAGCCTCAAGCTAGATGAAGTAAATGTTAACACTCTGGGCCAAGATGTGCTCTTAGGATACCAGCTTAATGAATGGGGCTAGTTGGTATTAAAAATCACAGATGCATTTAATATCATATATAACAAATGATGTATCATGTGCTGCCCAACTTGTTTTGGTCCTCAGGCTGTCTTCAGGTTCATCTATTTATAAGCTGTTAAAATTCATAAATAAAAGAAAAAAAGTAAAAGTATCCATGTAATAGGCCATGGAGGCCCATAGGGATGTGAGATGTTGAGGTTCCCATATTTTCTAGACAGTTAGCTAATAGATGGCAGTAAGGTTGTCAGCCATATGCGCTGGGTTAAAATTCATATAAATTATTAACAAGTTTAAATCTTTTCCAGTTACCTTTTAATCTGTACAATTCATTTTATACAATTTTTTACACTGCCATAATTGATAAGGCTCTGTAAAATGCATTAAGGTTATTAAAATATTTGTATAAAATTTAATAGTTTATAGAGCCAAGGGGGTTGGCTTAGAGGCAAACTTGTATTCAGGGGAGTCTTGGTTCAAATGTCAACCAGGATATACAGTATCCTGAATGAGGTTTTTGCTATTTTCCTCAGTCCATCCAGACAAATGCCAGGATGGTACCATGATTAAGCCACAACACCTTCCTTCCAAATACTTTCCAATTTATCATTCATCAGTGTTACGTAGTCTAGATACTGAGGACATCATGAAATAAACCACAAACACAAAGAAACTTGTGAATTAATGCTTCTAAAGGTGGCCTGAGAGCTGAAACATATTGGACTGTACATGGTATGTACTGTGTTGTATTTAATGGAAAATTAATTGGTGAATATTTGTTAATAACTTAACAATATCGATTTAATTTAGAAAGAATAAATAACATAGGTTAACTAACCACCACAGATTTTGTATATATAATGTATACTGAGTGTGGTTATGAAGTTAGGTGCGGTTTTTAAGCTTTGCTGTTTTTTATCACCTAATGCTAGAAACTTGTACTGAATCATGAAATGAAATATGTTAGTGAAGTTCAGTGTGAACCCAACTGCCACACATTCATTTGGTATTCCACGACTTCTCACTCTAAACTGAGAACTCATGGACATGTGGTCTCAGTTTGCCTCTGATACTTGAATTGAAATGATTTGTGTCATAAATTTTTACTCTTGGCATGAGTTATTGAAATAATCTTATAGCTAAGAATCCAGTGAACTATTGTCTGGAGATTGATCTGACCATTTTATCAAACTTCCTCCTGAAGCCCACTCAGAATATATTTATTTAGATTTTGACATAGTCATATGGGAAAAATCACTGTTCTGGCCAGGAACTTTACTGAATAAGCTATCCTTACTGAAAAGGTCCCATGAAGTAAGTATTAAGACATAGGAGGTATAAAATACTGTAACGTGTTTAGTTACTGAAGATGCCATTTGGATTGTTAATTGGTTTATTTAACAACCTACCAGTCTTGCCTACAATTAATTACAACACTGTTGCGGGGTTTCACACTTTATAACCCTATTCGCAATAATCTCTTCACTCTGTCCTCAGTAGTCTACATGTTTGTACAGTACAGGAGCTATACAAGTGTCACTGTATCGCAGACTCTCAATTATTACTCAGTTATCACAAACTATCACTGATTATCACACACACGTCCGGTTCTTCTTTCCGCGATGGCTGCTATATTCCAACTCAACTCTTAACGGCTCACTGCTGGCTAGATTCCAACTCAACTCGTAGGTTGCTGCCTTGAGAACTCACTTTGGTGGCTGATACACTTTAACTGTCTTCGGCGGCTGTGTAGTTCCCTTATAAACCCTCAGCTGGACAACGGGAAAACAGTTACGTAAGAGGCACCACTGTTGTCTGACGTTGTGTTTGCCTGTTACATAATGGGTACCGCTGTTATTACCGTCGTCTCTCGCAACCACTGTTTACCTGCTTTGCTTAGCAACCACTGCTTACTCGCTTTGCTTAGCAACCGGTGTTTACTCGCTTTGCATAGCGACCAGCGTGCTGGGACTCGGCTCACTTCAGCTCCGCTTGGCACGTCATGGCTGCAGGGAGGGAGGGGCGTCATCCATAGTGCAACACGTCACAATACTTTAATGGAAGTTCAGTAGAAACCCAGCCAAGGCTTGAAAAATTAGTATATAATTAATTAATAATTAATTATTAATTAATATAAATTAAATCAGTAAGTAAGTTACAGATGGATATAGAACTTAAACAAATAAGAATACTGATTTGAAAAATGCTTTTATTTCTCAACATAATATCTCTATACATTGAGGCACTTGTCCCATTGTTTCACAAGCCTCTGAAAACCAGCAGCATAAAATTCTTTGGGCTCTTCTTGGAACCAGGCCTGTTCACATGGCATGGCCTACCTCATAATGCATGACAGGTTAGGTTTTCACAAAGTCTATGCACGATGGGTGCCGTGCATGCTGACCCCACAACACAAAATGCAAAGAATGTATCTGGCATTACAGCATCTCAATTGCTACCACAATGAAGGACACGATAATCTAGCCCAAATTGTCACAGGTAATGATTCTTGGGTTCACCATTCCAAGCCTGCTACAAAGCGTGCATCAATGCAGTGGGAACATCCTGCGTCACCTTGAGGCTGGAATGCGGTGAGCAGTATGCCTTCGTGATCCCAGAAGACTGAGAGCATCACTTTCCTGGAGGGTGGTGTCACCTTAAACAAGTGCCTCAGTGTACAGGGAGATTATGTTGAAAAATAAAAGCATTTTTCAAATCAGTACTCTTATTTGTTTAAGTTCTATATCCATTTGTAACTTACTTATTGACTTACCTACGCATAACAGATTACTTGAACATGTAATTAATAACAGTGCACTAGTGAAAGAATAGTTTGGATTTAGGAAACATCTAAGAACAGAAAAAGCAACATATGAACTAAGTAATGAAATCATAAGTGCCTCTGATAAAAAAAATTACAGGTTTATTCATTTCCATTTTTTTCACCTTTTATCGGGTATATCGATTTCTGTTGAAACTCCATTACGAGAAGCAAATGCAGCAAAAAGCTGTTATCAGTGGTATTCAGACAGGGCCATGTGTTTTCTGTGGCAGATATGTGAAGGTGTACTTACTACCAGACAAGTCAAAGAGTGGAAAACGAAAGACGAAGGTGAAGAAACACACACTCAATCCCGTCTTTGATGAGACTCTTAAGGTAAGCTCATAAACAGAGGCTCTGGCATTGAAAATCTGCTTCCCAGATTACATAAGTAAAAATTGAAAAGCAGTAACATGCAGGAAAAAGTTAACAGGTATAGTAGAAATTTTAAATTGTAGTGTTAGAGGCACTGTACATAATTTTACTGCATTACTGCACCATTTAAATTTTCTCTCCTGATACTATAAGACCAGTCAATTTAACTTACTTAATATATTCATTTTGCCATGTTACTGCATAAGATAGGGGCACACAGTAGCGTAGTTGGTTGAGGCACTATGCTACAAGCCGGAAGGTCATGGATTCAACTCCCGATGAGGTCATTGGATTTTTTTCAATTGACCTAAACCTTCCAGCTGCACTATGGCCCTGGGGTTGACTCAGCCTCTAACAGATATGAGTTCCAGGAATATTCTTGGAATGTTCTTGGGGGTAAAGGGCAGCCGGTATGTAGGGCTGTCAACCTTGCCCCCATCTATGAGCCGATTGTCTAGAAAATCTGGGAACCTCAACATCCCACAACCCTATGGATCTCCACGACCTGTTACAGTGATACCTTTACTTACTTTACCTACTTACTGCATAAGATATGACACAGGCTTAACTTGACAGTAGAAATTAAGTTTCAGAGAATTGTTCATTTTTAAGTAATGGCCATCTGAGGATGGAGGTTTTAACTTGTAAGCATGTTGTAAGCTTACAGAGTGAGTGAGTGCATGTGTATATGTGTGAGCGCATGCATTCCATGCTTGAGAGTGTCTGTAAGGGTGCCTATGTGCAAAGGAGAGAGAGAGAGAGAGAGAGAGTGCGTCGTATGAGGGGGCAGATAACAGAAATGTATGTTGTATGATTTACTTTTGGAACGTGTTCCTACAAATGGTGATACAAGTATGTAGTGAAGCTGGGTGAAATGTCACTGTTTTCAGTTCCAAATTTCTCTGGATGAACTGGAGACAAGGACCCTATGGCTCACAGTGTGGCATTCGGATATGTTTGGCCGTAATGACTTCCTTGGAGAGGTGATGATGGCTCTGGAAAGTAAGGTGTTTGATGACCCATCACCACATTGGTACCCCCTACAAGAAAGGGTGAGATAATCAACTAAAATTGTAATATTTTGTTCTCTCATTTTTTTTGTACTCTACATCCAAAAATTGGGTTTGGGGATATGAACTGGATACATTAGAATCACCAGATATGAGCTCTAATGAACACGGTAACGAACCTTTGAGTTCCATAATAAGTGGGGAATTCTTTGGCTAGGTGATGGACTGTCAGCTTCTCAAGAGGGTCTCTTTTCTATGTAGTTAGTTGTCCAACCAGTTTTCTTAAAAGCAGTGTTCTTTCTAGATTTGACAGTGCCTTTGTAAGATATATTTCTTTTAGATATATCTAATATATAGTGTTTTGGGAGTTGCTTATGCTCCTGAAATGTTCGGTATGCCACAGGTAATGGACAGTATCCAACATAATTGTAATGGTAACAGACTGAGCAAATTACAAGCTTAGAATAGGAAAAAGAAGAAAGTCATGGATGTACATTGGCACTCTTCTTTTCAGCAGAATTTTACACACACACAACACACACACACACACACATACACACACATACACAAATGCAAGGGTTGTAATAATTCAGTAGGAACAGCCTATTGACAGAGTGGCTGGAGTTCAACACCTAATAGAATTTGTGCCAGTTACTGCCATGTTGAAACCAGATCTTGGGTCTACCCAACATGCTGTTGAGTTGGTACCAGGGGCTATTTCCCCAGGGACATAATAGCAGAGATATGAAGCTAACCATTTACCTCTGACTTTTGACAAAGTTAAAAATGTGTGAAGCATTGCTTCCATGACCCCTGTGTATGTCCACAGGTTTGTACCTGGACACAGGGACAACAATGTATGTGTGTGTAATTTAAAATAAATATTTCAATATTAAAAAGATGGAAATTAACTTTGTATCAAGTATGTTTCTATGACAGAAGCCAGATTATTATGCAAACAGAAATGTTTGATTGTATGAAAAGTTTATTCCAAATCAGGCTACTGGAACCAAAAGTGTCATCCTAAATTAATGGCAAGTGTAAGTAAGCAGTAAGAGGTGATTATTTATTAATTTGTGGTGCATGGTTGAAAGAGTTTGGATACTCAGTAAATGTAAAAAAAAAATTTCCCTTTACAGACAGAACAGTTCGATGACTTGTTGAGCTACAAAGGTGATCTGATCATCGGACTCAAGTTTGTTCCTCCAAATGTAACATCAGCCATTCATAAGAAGGGAAAACGATCATCTCGTGGCTCCTTACATGTACTAGTTAAAGGGGCCAAGAATCTAACAGCTGTGAAAGCTAATGGAACATCTGATCCCTTCTGCAAGAGGTATGCACATCATCAATTGGCCTTCATACTGAACAGTTAGAACTAAAGCTGCCATAGATTCTCTCTTCATGTCACTGGATTTTTTTCAATTAACCTAATCCTTCAGCCACACTATGGCCCTGGGGTCAACTCAGCCTCTAACAGAAATGAGTACCCGGAATATTCTTTGGGTTAAAGAGCAGCCGGCGCGTAAGGCTAACAACCTTACCACCATCCATGAGCTGATTGTCTAGAGAAACTGTGGGAACCTCAAAATCTCACAACCCTATGGGCCTCCACAGCCTGTTACAGGGATACCTTTATTATTATTTTTTATTATTATGTTGGCCCCCTTCTCAACCAAACTCCTAAATCTGAAGGACCATCCTTTTTTTCTGTCTGCAGCTACCCTCTATATGTGGAAGCCATCTCCTCCATCTGCAACATATGCCACATGCTGGTAACAAGAGACCCATTTACCATGAAATGTTTTATATTATGTATCCCATTTGCTTGAATATACATTCATATTTCCTTTCCCTAATTTAGTGCCTTAAAATGAGAGGTTGTCCTACAATTGTGAACAAAGTGAGTTACCTTGCTATGATTATTTGTCACTATTTTGACATATTGGAAAGAGGTCCCATGGATTGACCTAGCATATGCTTCCTCTTGTACCGTCTTTCCCGGCGTCAGCTGTCTAGCCATTCTGTTCAGAGGACTATATCACCATGCAGTAGCCTTTGCTGTAAAGAAACACTTCAGACTGGCTGATGCAAGCCACAAGTGGTTGAAGAGAATGCAAAGGTAGGCAGAAAGGAGAAACTCTTGAGAGCCGCTGTCCATGCCGTTTCTGAGACTTATTTTCATGACGTAATTGTAGACTTTCAGACTTTAAATTCATATGTAATATGAGCTTTGACTGACCTTTTTCAGAACCTGTTAGACTGTAACTTTGAAACCAGCTAGTTGTGTCTCAGGAGTGTGAGGAGACACTACGGAATTCTTTTGCCCTTATTGTTTATAATTCACATTCACCCTTCTTTATTCATAGATGCTCTACCATCTGTACAGTTGGCATATATATATATATATATACTGTTCAAGCAATCAGTCATTTTTGTAGTATCCTGAGTGGCTCTGAGGCTCACCCAGCCTCCTATCCAATGGGTACCAGGGGCTCTTCCTTGGGAGTAAAGCAGCCAACACATGAAGCTGAACACTCACTTCCATCTAGTGTTGAGGCCAAGAATGGTGGATCTATACCTCCACTCCCAATACATCTTCAAGATATAGTGCTTAATTAGTTAAACACAGGAACAACTTTACATTTTTTATTTTATTGAAATATAATGTGACTACAATTGTCAGGTGTGAAACATGTGCATTTTGTTCCAGCTACTTACTGCCTGACAAAGGACGTAGCTCTAAGCAGAAGACACCTGTTCTGAGGCGAACCTGTAGTCCTATCTGGAACTATACATTTATCTATGAGGATGTGAGTCTTCAGGAACTGTCGGAGCGCAGTCTGGAGCTGACAGTGTGGGATCGAGATAGATTGTCCAGCAATGAGTTTCTTGGTGGTCTTCGCTTCAACTTGGGTTCAGGTGAGTGAAGGGCATTGTAGTAGGTTGACATCATGTGTGGTAAGGAATAGCTCTCTCTTTGTATGTCTGTGTTGTTTTGGTATGTACATTTGCTTGGAATCGGTTTTAGCATACCAAAAGTTCGGCTGACAAACGCTTAACTAAAAAATACTGTTTTTGATATGACAATGTGTAGTTTGGTACATAAACATCACAATTTTGGATGAAATTGTTGCACCCATTTTCATGGCAGAAGAGAATTCATATCCTGAAGCTGAAAGCAGCAGGTTCATCTCAAACTTTGATGCAACTAAAGCATACTGTCTTGAATATGACAATATGTAGTTTAGTGTGTAAACTTCACAATTTTTTAAGAAACTGTTGCCACATTTTCATGGCAGAAGGGGACACATCCTGAGGATGGAGGTAGCAGGTTGATCTGAAACTTTGATACTTCTGTACCACTACACAGTGTCACATCCCAGAAGCCTGAAGCCTTCATAGTCACCATATTGTGACGGGTCGCTCAAAGCAGTAAGATATGGAACCAGAAAAACCTCTGTACCACAATCAATAGAACTTCAGTTACGTCGTAGTGAAAGTCTCAGTAATCACAAGAACAGAGCAACTATTGAAGACATCGATTCCTAGGCAATGCATACAGAAACAGGTCTCTGTTACAAAGGCCAGGTAAACATTGTTCTCACAACGATGGAATGAATGTCCAATAAATCGATTCACCTAATCCAAAACCCATGAATTACTTGTCACGTTACCAGGATACGCGACAATATTGAGAATGTCATATCTCATATATCCTTAATTGCTTAAAATTTTAATTTTCTATGATAAAGCCTGCAGACTAAACATAAGGACATATTCTGTGTTCCTTTTAGCATATATTCCTTGTTTGGGTAGGAAAGCTATATTTATAATATTGTCATGTGCATACATTTGTGTTCCTGATGTATCTGAGAGTATTCAGTAGTATGCTGCATCAGCACCATTCTTCTCTTTATAAAGCACAAATGTAAAAGACTATTAAATCTGATTACAGACAATTAAGAAATTACACAATTAAGATCGCAGCCATGCTGGTGGTCCTCATGTGTGAAACTTGGCAATGCATTTCTTTGGTACTTTAAACATTTGTATTTTTGAAAACAGTTTGAAGGTACTGTACTCATACCCTCTGTCCTCTGTCACATCAGATTACTGGTAACTTTTTTCAGAAAAAAAAAGCAATGACTATCCAAAACAGGTAGAGAATTAATGGTGGTGCAACAAATGTGTTTATTTGTTATTCAGGCAAACATTATGGCAAGGTAGTGGAATGGATGGATGCTACAGGCGAGGAAATAACGTTGTGGAAGCGCATGCTAGAGCGACCTGGTCTCTGGGTAGAGGGCTGTCTCACGCTACGATCTTCATTAGAGCACCAAAACTCCTAAGAGCATACCCCTGCTATCCAGAAGAGCATTGTTATGAGCATGAATGCAAATTCTTTGCATCTTTATTGTAGGCATGTGCTGAATACTCATGGGTTAAATGTTAAGTTGGAGTTTGTTCATGTGTCATGGAGTGTTTACCTATTTGCCATTCTGTATTGCCAAGATATTTATTAGCTGTAGTGACCAGCATGAAGAAACCAAAATGTTAATAAAATACTTTCTGTTTTTTTAGGAACTATTAAGATGTCGTTTTGTTTGCGTGTGTGTATTCAAGGTCATTGACCATACCACAAGCTTCTCTGTAGTTTTTCTTGATTTTCTCTAAATATGGGTGGCATTTATGTTTCCTAAAATGTCATCATTCATAAATTGACTTTGATTCTAGTTTATTTGACATGGTCAAAAATATGGAAGAACTATAATCCTTGTCTTTTCAGAAACGGAGGTATTATTCTAATATGTAGTATGTCAGTTGGTGTTATATGAATGTAACTCTCAAAGCATACACTAGCACAACTGACAAGGAGTTTGGGTGAAATCACAGCATCTGTATTAGTCATTTATCCAATGTTCCTAAGCTGTTTGTTCTTATGTATGCCCAAGAATATTGCAACATCTTTATTTTAAATAATATACATAATTGTACTTTAAGGTATGTAATCGTCTGTTTCTATGTATATATGTGTGTGTGTCCTGAAAATCGCGTTCTCCTTCATGCACCAAAATCTTCTCAGCCAATTTGTTATGTCAGAATTGAGTTAAAAACCAGGATATACAGGGCTCTAAACTGTCTCCATCATCAAAGATGGTGGTTAATAAACACAGAGCAGGTGCCTGAATCTTTCTCAGTTCTAAGGTTCTTATGATAGTGTATAACACTCAGCATTACTGAATTTTTGGACTTTGTCCATTGTCCAACATTCTAAAGAACACAACATTTCAGAAACTGGTTCTTCCATCTTTAGATGAAAGGGTAGGAGGCACCTGTGGATGGAAACAGATCCAGTTTCAAAAACATTGTGTTCTTTAGCATACCAAGTGACATCCAATAACTCATTAATTTTAAGTGGTTTGTTTTTAATTCAACTCTGATGTATTTGCTCACTGAAGAAGATTTTTGTTCCTTTACTCATTGTGAAAGTTTTGAAATCTACTTGATACACTCTCAGCTTCCTTACATAAGTATAATGTGTGCAATTTTATTTTATTTTATGCTGTTTAATTCAGTTAATTACCTGAAAATTTACCTGTGTCTGCTATACAGGATAATATTTTCCCATTTGTGAAGTGTAAATGCTATGAATTGAAAGGTTAATGCATTCCAGTGCAGGAAGTTAGTCTTATTATTTCTAATAAGATCTAAGATTATTTCTGTTGAATGAATAGTTAATTTAAATACTCTTTATGTACAATATTTTAGTACATTAAGTGCGGCAATAAAACATTTAATTTTACTATATTTTATTGTGTTATTTACATCAAAGGATGATGTAATTATTATGGATTACATATTGCTAAAATTCGTAATTTATCATTTCCAAGGTTTTGCAAATACAAATGTTGCTATTAAACGAACAGAAGATGCCTAATGATAATTCATTCAATGTAATTGTTCCATAAAATTCAGTGCAATAAAAGTTCACTGGCTGCAAGGGGTCCAGCATAGAGTGTTATTGGGTCTGTGCCTGTAATAATCTTTACTTGGAAAATCACTTAATATGGACTTCGACTTGTATCATGTGTGGACTGGTAGCATTGTGTTGCTCAATTGTTGTCACTTGATTCTGTGATGAAGGTGACTACATGACTGAAACTAATAAAAGTTAAATTATTAAATGTCATTAACCTCACAGATTCAGGTGTTGGTGTGCAAGTGTTTCTCAAACTTAAGATAGAGAAAGACCCATTGATATAATATGTTTAAAACCAGAAAGCAATTTAAACTTTTAGAATAAAGTATTATTACAATTATTTCAGAATTTGTTCATTAAATCATATTGACAGTAATGTGCAGAGTATTAAGATGATCTCAGTTCTCTACTTTGGCTCACCACTTAAAAGAAACTTTCAAAATTAAAGACAAAATTAAAGATCTTAGTAAGTATGCAACGTACATATCCCTTAGGCCTTTGATTCTTAACCCTTCAGCGCCAGGGGGCATTTAAATTGCATCTCAACTCCAATGCTGGTGGCTATATAACTAATTAAATCGGGGAATGCAGCACTTAACTTAAAGCGTAATAAACGGGGAAAAACGAGTTTTGTTTTTCAGATTTTCACACAACATCCAGAGAAGTATATAGAATTAGAGTAATGATCCACACTACTTTAAAATTATTTTTGGGCCAGTAAGTGTATAAAAATTATGAACAATAGTATCATATTACCTTAAAAATTCAGCTGTGTGTGGTAGTTGCGGAAACACTCAATGCCCATGCCTCACGCATCACACCAATACACTGTGTCCCTTCTCCTTCCACACTTTTGACACACAACGCAGTTTCTCTGTGGTCTAGATTTCTTCGCCGTTGGAGGAATCTTGCTGATAAAATGTTGTTCTGTTAGACGGGTCACTGTGTTGTCTGATTGATGTGAACCTGGCACTTTATGTTCCACAGCACTTGCATATTTCATGAACAGGCCATCAATCAACTGAATTCTGAATGATAATTGCTGAATTCGTTTACCTGTGTTACTCCTGTACACTATCATTGAATTTGGAATTGAGGCGTTTAGGAGCCTGCGAAACAGCTTCATGTACCACTTATTCATACGCTTCCTCTCAATCAAATAAGAGTGAAGCAGCTGGTCCTTCAAATCGACCCCTCCCATTGACTTATTGTAGTCCAATACTGAAAGTGGTTTTGCCACCTCCTTGCCTCTAACTGTAAGAGTCCTGGTGTCGTGACTGTGATAGGTGGAGATCATGGTGACTATTTTTTTGTCAAACCACTTTGTGACAGAAACGGGTCCATGCCAGGATTTCGCCTTTTTTTAGTTTAGTGTTTTTCACTTTTGGAGGCACATTCTTACGATTCAATTTCAGAGTGCCAACACAGTCAATCTTGTGTGTTATCTTCAGTAGCCTGGCTAGAGTTGGGGAATTGTAAAAATTATTCATCCACAGACCTTCATTCAGGAGAGGTTCTACCAGTTTCAGGACAATGGCTGAAGTTTTTTTGGTGTCCGCTGTGATCAAGGGGGAGTCAAATTCTGTATCCTTGCCTGTATATATGATGAAGGACCATAAATACCCTGTGGTGGAGTCACACAACTCATAAGTTTTAATTCCAAATTTGGCTGCCTTCAGAGGGAGGTACTGTTTGAAAGACAGATGGCCTTTCCAAAGTTTCATAGATTCGTCAACTGAAATGTCCTGGTTTGGGAGACAGAGTTCCTGAAATTTCTTATTGAGATGGAAAATTACTGGGTAAATTTTGAAAAGTTTTTTTGGTCCTTCAAAAGTGCTGATGTTTTCATTGTTGGCAAAATGCAAAAATTTACATATTAGCTCCAGTCTGTCTCGCGTTATAATGTCTCTAAATCCCGGTGTTGAAATTACTCTTTTTGTTGTAAAATATGACTGAAGAGTTGGTTTCTGTACAATGCCCATGAGCATGAACAAACCCAAGACCACATAAATCTCTCCCTTTGTCATGGGTTTCCATGCCTTAGAATGCGACCTCACTGATGGTTCACGCCCCCATAGAAACTGCTCCGCGTATCTATTTGTTTCTGCGACTATGGTCTCAATAAGTTCCTTGTCGAAAAACAACTTTAAAACGTCCACAATTTCCGTTACATCTTTCCCAGGGCCTTGAGGTCCAACACTGCCCGTGAAATGTTCTCTCTGACCCCTATAGTTCTCCATGTCCTCCCAAACGAATTCTTGATTTGCACTGTCATCTTCATCGCTGTACTCATTTCCAACAGCATCACTCAAGGCACGATCATCTAACTCGTTTTCAGTGTCAAAATCCAAATCTGACAGACTTTGTTTGGAATCACTTTCAAGCAAACACTGTAAGTCCTCGTAACTCAACACAGCTGAACGTCTCTTTCTTGTCCCAGCCATGGCAGCTACATGCAGACTGCACTAGCTATTTGTGGACGAAAGGGAACCTCAAGGAATGCAAACAAGGCATTTGTTTATCATATCCAACAGCAGTCATATCAGAGGTCAGTGTCACGTATCTTTCTTGTAAGGTTCTACACGTGGTTTCTCATTCGGTTCAAGAGGCAGCACTCGTCACAGGCTGAATGCAAATCGATTTTGCTTTGACCAGCATGCAGGGAGATCACAGACTTTGCTTCGACCAACACGCAGGGAGATCACAGACTATAAACCTAGCATATTTAGCTCTTAACTACTCCAAGAGGTGGAGATAGATTTGTACAGCAATACTGCACCCTACGCGGCGAGCTACAAAACTTCATCAGAGACTTCAAATGTATTAAAAAAAAAACCCCAGGAAGTTCAAAGTGGGATAACGAATATACGAAGTGATAGACAGAAATTTCCCCTTTTAATTTCATACCAAAAGTATTACTTTTCATGATAAGCAACAGTTTAAAATAAGAGCTGAAACTTAGCACTGCACAAGACGTACGACACATGTTGCCCGGAGAGGTGTGGCATTTAAATGCCGACATGTGATGTATGTCACCCGGAACTGAAAGGTTAAAGTGTCGTGTTAACTGCCAGACATTTATACACATCAGTGTATTCTTTTGCAGTAGGATTGCTATTTTATTTACACTTGTACTAACATGACTGGATCCAGCAAGTGATAATGATTAGCTTTGTTTTGCTTATTTGTTAACCAGAAAACATGAAGAGTGGATGAACATAAATTTGTTTCATTGACTGACTGAATTCAGGATATTAGAAACATCCTAAAATTAAGCAAATATAAATGTATATGCATATACAGAAAGTGGTTAATGATAGACCATTCACTTTGTGCCTTATCTTTATTATAAATTTTGTAACAAGTTTATTGGCACAAGTCAAATAATTAGGAAGTTCACTAATAAATCAAAATTTGATTCGAGAGGAGGCTAAATTGAGGTAATGTTTGCTACCATTCAGTCCAGAACCTTATGTCTGCTTGTTCGCTGATTAAAAACTTAAAATTAGAATATACAGAGCTATAATTTTGCCTGTGGTTTTGTATGGGTGTGCAACTTGGTGTTGAGGGTCTTTGAGAACAGGGTGCTGAGAAGAATATTTGGTGGCTTCTCAAGAAGGGCCCAACTCCATGGAGTTAGTTAGCTAGTAACCAGTTTATTGCCTAAGTAATGAATTAGTTTGATTTGCTCACTCTGTTTTTAATACATAGGTCTTTAATTTACAAGAAGTGTCTCTGGTTGTATACCTGTCTGTGATGTCAAGAGTTTGAGGAACACTGGTTTAAACCTTACCACAGTTTACACTGTGTAAACGGTTTGTGAAGGTTTTGTAGTTTTGATTTTCTAATTTTTAACTCTTCAAAGGAGTTTCATTCAGTGACTGCCTGTGAGACACACTAACTAATGTGCTTGTTTGCAGTGATATTGTATACATGATTAAAGCAAAGAGGTTGACAGCATTTGGTGGCATAGCCTTATAGTATTCAAGCCTTCATTGCTGATGCATGTCTGTGAGTGTATATGAAATAGTATGTACATAGAGACTGTAGGAACAATTACATGATATTTTTGTAAGGGGATTAAGATGTTTTATATTGCATTTGTATACAAATGTGTTTTTTAATTAACTTCAGTTTTATAGTAATAATTTACCTGCATCAGTTTAGTGATGTATATGTTATTTCTAGGTGGTGAAATTTGTATTTAACACATGCAGTAACCTGTGGAGAAGTGTACTGCAGACATTACTGGGGCCTAGCAAATGATTCCTGAGGACTTAAAAAAAAATTCTTCTTAAACTCATAAAATACTTGCAGTACTATTGCATATATTCTCAAAGCTCCTGATAAAAAGATACATTACAGATGTTTATTTTCCATGTGTCTTATGTTAATTTTAGTGCATAAATATGAAATTTGACCTCACATCGTTATGGACTTTTACTTCTTAAAATTTATACTACATCAAATTTTTGTGCATATCTGTAATATTAATTGGTTTATGTTCTCTCTATCTCCATAGTTAAAACACAATGATGATAGAGGTTGTTAACAACATATCAGTTATGGGATAGATTTTCAGTGAACATTGTAACAGATGATGGATGTGGGAAATGTAAGGTGAAGTCGCAGTTTCGTCAATAAGTAATGGATTTTAATGCTGGTGCAAGGAAAATCGTCAGTGGTGGAAACTGAACTCTGAGATTATTTGCTGGGAATTAATGGACGTGAACATTAAAAGAGGGAAAACCTTAAATAAAGGAACATTAAATGGGTGTTCTACTTATACGGAAGAAAGAATAGTGTGATATGCCTGGAAGTGTTGACTGAATAAGGGATGACCTGGCCAAATAAATGGAGATTGAACAGTTTGAACTATACTGCAATCCATAAGTATAAGAAACCATCGATAGAAATAGGATCTAAAGGTTTGTGATAGTCTTATATTAATACGATGATTGATTTTCTGAACATTATCCAATGCGCTAATTATTATTTAAAACTGTGTTTTTAAGAATGGACTCTGTCATCATCCTCAAGCAAAACGCATATTTTGTTGGGCCCAGTCGATAGAGCTATTTCCTATTTCTGGCGTTAGGGTCCAGTCAGTAGAATTAGTCCTTGCCTCTGGAAATAGGGTCCAGTAATAGAGCTAGTCCCTGTCTCTGGGAGATAGGGATAGCTGTGCTGAGTTGAACAGAATAGGCTTTTTACCTCAGGCCTGAGACAGAGCCCAGTCTTGGAAACATCGTTTTAATTACAAATTTTGACAATTAATAATTCCCAGAAAATCTGTCATTTTATCATGACAGTTATACCATCACATTTATACATTCATAAAAGTGTCTGATATGACACTTGTGTTTTGGAGTGTTGGTTTAAGTGTTAAACGTTTTGCTTCCCACAATTGCCATCGTTGTTAAAGAACAAAATTGATAAGATAATAGTTATCTCTTTAAGCTTGGCCCAAAGGGGGACAGTGTTAAATATATGGATTATAGTACAGTGGCATGTAATGTTAAAGAGAAAAATGTCTGTGTTTGTGGAGCGTGTATGTAACTACAGCACAACAGTAGATGGTATAAATGTAATTCCACAGGTCTTCTTCACTGTCTTCCTGTTGATCTCTAAAAGTGTGGCTGTACACATCATTCATGGAAATAAACATATCACAAATTCCTGTTATTTGTTGTTATTTGAATTACTTGTTTTCGCCTCGCCCACTGCAGATTTGTTTAGACAGTCAAAAATAAGCGTGAACAATTATTTCCCTAATGTGGAAAATTTGATTATATGCAGTCAGCCAAACACGCTATCATACTTCCCACATTATAGTATTTTCTTTTAACTTCTTCAGCTCTTCTGAATCTCTCCTTGTCATATTAGCCTTTGTCTGAAAGAAAACCTCTGCTTCCCAACACATCTCCAACATCACTGCCTCATCATCATTATTCTTAGGTACATAATTTACAATAAAATACATGCTTTGTAATGGCTTAACATGTTTTTATTTTTTATTTCATGAATGGAATAAATGGACTGCTCCTGTGGTCTAGTGGTCAGAGTTCCTGCCTACAGATCCAGAGGTCCTGGGTTCGATTCACGGCCCTGCCAGATTTTTTGAGACATAGTGGGTCTGGAACGGGGGCCACTCAGCCTCGTGAGGATAATTGAGAAGTTATTTAAAGGAAATAGCGGCTCCAGTCTAGAAACCCGAGATTAACGACCGTGGGGATCCATTGTGCTGACCACATGACACCCTCTGTCTGCTAAAGTTGGCACTAACTTTGCTGGCAAGCAACGGTTGCTCGGTTGGAATAGTTTGCTTGCGGACCACAGACCACAGAGTATGTTTGTACACATGTTGGAATCTGGGCCTGAGTGCACATCTGTAGAAGTTACTTATATGTTAATTCGTCAGTAAGGAGAAGCTGACTAATCACAGATCAAACTGATGTTCTGCCTTCACAAGAAGCAGCTGAACCACAACTGCAAGTGGAGGGAAGTATCCTGAGTAAATAAAATAGTAACAATCAGATGTGCAGTTGTTGACCTACAGGAGTGTACAGAGCAACAATCCAGGAGTCTGATTAATGTGTACAGGCTTCAACTACCAGGGGCATAAGGCTGCATGTGAGAATCAATGTAAAGAACCTTGTAGGATACCAGTTGTTTCAAGCCTTCAGCATTTACAGATCATCTAATCTACTCATTTCTTGAAGGGTCATTCTTGATTCCTGGTTTCACTTCATCTCGATTAATACATGTAAATAACATTTGTAATCTGTGTATATTCTGCCACTGTAATAAATCCATTTTTTTCCATTGTCCAAAATGATGGCCAGAACAATTTAATTTTAGCTCTGTTCCCTGAAATTGTCACTTATAACACCGATATATATATAGAAACCCGTTCAGCCTAACTAATGTTGTGAAAAGAGGAGGTGAATGTTATAGGTTTAACCTGAGGTTTTTGAGCTCCTTCATTATAGTGACTGGTTACAGGCTGGACAAACACGGGATCAGATTTTGAGTCTCTGTAGGGTCAAGAATTTTCTCCTCTCTGTGCTGTCCAGACTGGCTCTGGGGCCCACCCAGCCCCCTATCCAATGTGTACCAAGAGCTTTTTCCTCGTGGGTAAAGGGGCCAGGGCGTGAAGCTGACCACTCACCTCAAACTAGTGCCTTGTTAAGAAAATATAGATCTATACATCCACTCCCCCACGTCTAAATGGCATGGTGCTTAAATAGGCACAGGGACAGCTTTACCTTTACCTTTGCCTGAATCAAGACAAGAAACAATTAAAAAAGAGTAATGAAAGAAGTTTTTAATAAGATAATGGAGTGATACTTCAAAATCGTAAATTTGTGTTACACGATTTTGGTCAAGTTGAATGATTCCCGAAACCAGAACCCGAGGCGGTTAATTCCTTTCTGAACGGGTAATCCCAATTGCGTGAAATGTCAGTTTCCGTGCAATCGATAATATTATCCATTTCACGGAACATGTTATGGGCATAAAAATCATTTTAGTCTCGGAAAACTATTATAACTCTATCTTTGAATCGGCAGAATACGAAGAAGACGAATAATCAGGTAATCCTCAATCGAACGTCTGTTTCGTCAAACATTAACAGCCCCTAACAACAGTAACAAGTGTTACAACTGAATTACAAACTTGAGGGCCCGCTAACTGCGCAGACCACCACTGCCAAGCAATACAAGACATGAACGATACACATACAGACGCGTAACTAACATTTGGTTGGCAACGCAGCGCGTGGTGTCACCTTGATATCACAGTGAAACTTCCACCGTTGTTAGGGTTAAAGCATGTGTAGGCATTACGCTACAAGCCGGAAGTTCGCGGATTCGATTTCCGAAGAGGTCATTGGATTTTTTAAATTAACCTAATCCTCCCAGCAGCACCATGATCTAGACTCAGTCGACTCAGACTCAAACAAAAACGAGTACCAGGAATGCCAGGAATCTTCCTGGGGGTTAAGGGCTGTCGGTTCTTAAGGGTGGCAGCATCACCGCGATCACCGCCATCTGTGAGCCGATATTCTAGAAAAAATGTTGGCCAAGACGTCTCACATCCTTCATCTCATCTACGGCCAGTTACGGGGATAGGCACCTTTATCTTTGGTAAAATACATCCACTTCCCAGTACGTCTTCATGGCATAGTGCTTAATTCGTTAAGCGCAGGGACAAACCATTTTTTTTTACTTATAATATTTCATATTAGATGGAAGCTCCCTCCTTTCAATGTTTTCCTAAATAAAGTGCTACATAGGGCAGCATGGGCGTGCCTAGGCCTTTTCTGTATTTAAATATATTCTTTATAATAAAAATTCCTAAGAGTAAGTCATTTATATATCACTGCAAAACGACCGTTAGATAAGTTAAATATCGAACTGAAATCTATAGTAAATAACCGGATGACGGTACATTCTTATGGTGCTTGAGAATGAATGGGTAACTTGTCGTACCTGACAACTGAACGGTAAATTTAGCTGTTATACAAGGAGAATGGTATTCCTCACTCGTGTTTTGCACTGACTGATCATCAGTGTCTTGTGCACAATTCCATCTGTAGCGTTGTAGCCTGAAACTGTGCAATGGATAACGAAGTACAGAATTATGTAAAATCTTTCAGTAGGTGTATTAAAATTAAAGTTTATGCAATACATATTAGAACATGATCATTAAATAGATTTGAAACTGAATCACAATCTCGGTTATTTTGGCGGCTTATTTAAAATGAACTTTTTGTTACAGTTAAGGCTAATGTTAGAAGAATACAAATTGCTTTAGCAATTGCTATAATAAGATCCAAACCAGAAGGCATTACAGCTGTTCAGCATGCTTCTGTAATTCAGGCTCGTTTCAAGGCTAAATACTCCAATTGTGTAAGTTTTGTAACTCAGGATTTTATTGTGAACTGATATATAAAGACATGCTAGATAGTAAACTTTGCATCATTATAGGTGCTTGAACGATCTGATTCTTCGAAAGAACCCGTTGTTTATGATCAGAAGACGCTTACTATGCAGCAAAGACAACTTATCTCAAGCCTCTGGGAAGCCGTGCCTCACTTGACAACAAATGATCCTGTACAGAATAAGCCTCAGAATTCACAGGTGTATCAAGGTAAGGCCGATATTAGTCCAATAATGATAAAGAATATTATTATTATAATTCTTTTTGTAATTGTAGTATCCTGTGAATATAACTTTAACAGACCAAAATTTATTCAAGATCATTCATCAAGTTGGAAGTTGAGGAAGGAACTCAGGATGCATATTCCCATTAAATGCTTCTGTCCATGAAGAGAAATTAAACAGATATAATAAATGATTATGAAATATTTGTTATACAAGTGGGTAATTAGTGCCGGTATGGGTTTGTAGTGGCTGAAAGTCGTCAGAAGTGACCAAAAATTTTGCACCATTGGTATATTGTAATTTTTAAGGAATATGTTTCATACAAAATTTGTAGATATTTTTATGAAATATATGAAACTTTGCCTTCCTAGCCACAACAGTGCATCAGTTATCATAATCAAATGGAAAGGTAAACATATATTTGTGCTGCCATTATGCAGTCTTTTCACATTCTTTACAAAAAGCACGTTAACAAAAATTTAATATTGAAGGAAATTGCCATTACAGGAAGGACTATCATGTGTTATATGTTATAACTTGTTTTGGTAAGGAGGTACTGGTAGAATGAAACATCCATTTAATTAAAAAATGAACTGGAAGCTCTTAAGGTGATTTCTCTAATGTTTTATATATGTTATACATCACAGCTTCAAATGAATATGATAAAAATTGCATGAAAATATTGTGTAAATTGCCAACAAAAGTGCAAAGGAAATTAAGTAATTTATTTTCTTAGGACAGATTCAGAAACATATCTTTTGAATGTTATTATTCCATTTTATTTGTATTTAATCTTGAACCTTGTGAGCAGATTATGTGAAGTTATGATCAGGCAGTAGATAAAAGATGAATCTTCCTGAAAAAAGAAAATATCTTGATAGTGTTCCCTGCATTCTCCATTCATATAGTTTTCTTCATCCTGTGGAAGGCAGAATACTGTTCCTACTACTCAGGTTCATTATTAGTGTGCTGAAGTGTGGTTTATTTAAATACCAACTCTCTCTTTCCTCTCTTTTTTCTCTGGTTCTTCACTATCCACTAAACAACGTTGTTGTTGTCATCGTCATCATCATTACCACCACCAAACATCACAGTCAAGTAGGTGGTACTTCTGCTCCGTATTTAGAAGTATTCAATTCTCGGTGCAAAGACCGGTTACACTGAGTGAGGCTTTTTATGGTTTTTCTCAGACCTTCAAGACAAATGCCAGGTTAGTACTTCAAATTAGACCATGATGACTTCCTTCCACATCTTTTCCTGTTCATTAGGAATGAGTCATCCTAACATTAAATGCTGCATAGTCTGAGCTATTGACAGCACCATTAATTAGACCATAAATGCATATATGACCATCACTCTTTTATGTTTCACTCATAGTAACAAATACAGTACCCTTCTCTTAAAGTACTTTCTTTTCTAGAAAGTAATATGTCAGTACTCATGTGTGACAAAGAGAAAAGGGTGATACTTTTTAGGGCTTTGAAAAAATTGAAACCTTCAGAAATTTAAAACTGACATATAGTTTTAGAAAAGGGAACTATAGGGGTCAGTACAATAAGACATTTTCATTTAGCTTTCTGTTTTATGAGGAAGGATGACCATGATGCCCTGTTATGTGCTGATCAGAGAAGAACGTGTTTGCCTGCGCAAAGATATGCATATGCATATATGTAACTATAGAGTTTCACCTATGTCTGAGCAGATACATTGAAGGTGAGGTAAAAGATATCCCGGTGAAGGCTCATAGGGTTGTGAGATGTTGAGGCTTCCATGTTTTGTCTAGACAGTCGGGTCACAGATGGCAGTAAGTTTGTCAGCTTTATGCACTAGCCACCCTTTAGCCCCCGGGAAGATTCCAGGGTATAGATGGACTATGGAGGCAGAGCTATATGCATTGTAGAACTCAGCACTAGATGGAGGTGAACACCATGCATTAGCTCGAACTCATTTTGGGGACAAACTTTTTGTTCCCATCCTGTATGAAGTTAAATGGGTTTCAGGGTCATTCGGGATGTGGTGGTGAGTCCCACTTATATAAGTACATGAAGGTTTGTTGAGGTTGTGTAAGTTCATCATATTTACATTTAATAAAACTGAGAGGTACTATATGTACTTCCAGTCAACACAATTTGTATGAAATTAATTCTTCATTTTGCTGGACCAGTGAAACTTTTTTCTTTTAATTTGGTATCACTGTGTGCACTAGGCATTGGGAACACTAAAATCAGCAATGTATATAAGGCTGAATTTTATTGTTATTCTGGCTTTTGCATTTTTTTTATAACTTTAGCGTGGTACCTGAAGTATGAACTTGTAGCTTCATCTGTTTATTGTTAGAGCAAAATATTTTTTGCTTTCTATCTTATATTTTCTCAAACTTGTTAATTTGAGCCAAATGTCAATCACAAGTGTTGAAATAGATATTTTAACTTACATTCACTAATATGAATATAATTAACAAGTTACTACAACTGTGCCCGAGTTCTTAACTCTAGAAATACATGACATGAATTCCCTTGCTGTAAGAAGCAGCATACACACATCTTTTATTTGTTTGTATTTGAATGTTTTGTATACTAATCACATCAACAAAGTAATGTTCACATCTCAACACACTCACCTGTATAACTTCATTGACTGATGTTATGTTGACCTAAACTGAAAGAATGATGTCTTCCTGGCAATGAATGTCTGTGTAAGAAAATATATGAAGTTGACTACAGATACAAAAGACTTGGAACTATGATGATTAGTTTTAAGATCACAGTCTTGTGGGATGTGACAATGTGTATTCTATTAGGTAGGTACCATTGTTTCAAAGAAACTTGTCTTCATCTTCAGTCTTATACCCAGAAGAATGGAGACTGCAGTTTTCTCCAAAATGCTGTTACCTGTCTACAAGGCTACACATGTCATGCCATAGAAGACAGTAATCTTAATATTTACTACCATGCAGACTTCAAATCTTAGATACTGACAGTGTGCTCACCATTGTCACAGAACCAGATGGAGGTGAGTGGTCAGCTGCATACTCAGACTGCTTGGCTACTACAGAGTGACCTCCCTGTAGCCACGCATTAGAAAAACTCCAGTCTGTGTGTGGGATTTGAATCTAACCCTAGAACTTGTGGCTAGGATTGAGTGGCACAGGCACTGTCCTATTTAGGCCATCACATATTGCATACAGAACTTAAGTGTAATTTTTCTTCCCTCAGGACGTTCACATGACATGTTTGAGAGTGAAGATTTTATGTCTCAAGTGGATAAGAATAGTGATGCTTCACCAATGGAGCAAAATGAACTGAATCTTCGGTTTATTCAAGCTATGATTCAGTTGAAATCTGTTGTGAATACCTGCTCATACATTTCAGCAACTGAACTGCAAAATATTCTCTTGGCTGTGCATACTGATGATAGCAAAGAGACTGATGAGTTGCATACTGACTGTGGTCATGAGTCATTGATCTCACACAGATCAAGGAATCAGCAGAATACAGCAATACATAATTTTCCTCACTCTGAAATCGGATTTGGTTTTGGAACTAACAGAGATTGCAATGTTTCTGGTGGAATACTGAAATATCTAATGTGTTCGTCGGGTGCAAATCATCTGCTTGTTCGTTCAGTGGAAGCTGTTCTACAGTATCTGAGTCAGAGCATACAGACTGAAAAGAGTGAGTCACTGGATTTGATTTTTCAAAGCTGGAAAGGCTCTGTACTGGAATATTCGCTAAATGTTGTGCATCAACTAGTGGACCATTTTGCGCAGCAAGGGGAAGAGCAGAATGAATGCCGTGAAGTTTGCTTCACTTTCATTCGCAATGTTATTGATGGAATTCTCAATGCTGATTCACCAAACATGGTAACTTTTAAGTTAAATTTTTATGTTAGGGTGGAAGAAAATGATACTAAGATGATCAGATCAAGGAGAATAAGGTGGGTGAGGTATATAGTGCATGTAGGAGAGATGAGAAATGAATATAACATTTTAGTCACAAGACTTTAAGGGAAGAAACCATTTGGGAGACCTGGACATAGATGAGAGGATAATATTACAGTGGATCTTAGAGAGAAATTGAATATTATAATTTGGATCCAATTGTTATGGCGCAGGGCAGGGTCTAGTGGCATGTTCTTGTGAACAGAATATTTAGCCATTAGGTTCTATAAAATTTAGATAATTCTTTTTATTGGCTGAACAACTGTTAGTTTCTAGAAATGAATTCTGCTGCATGGAATTAGTTGAGTTAGCTAGTAGTATTTGTAGAAATTAATAATTATGGAGAGAGAAGGGCTACTTGATATAGGGATGGATCTGGAAGATAGTGTATATGCATTCACATCTGTTCTCTCACTCTGCAGCCACTAAACACTGCTTTAGAGAAACATGAGTGTGAGTGAATACTTTTTTCTGTTCATGATAATAGTACAGGAAAATTACAATATTCTGACACATTATTGAATGGTCACCCTCTATTATCTACTGTTTGACTAACCATCTAATTACTTTATAATATTACTCTATAATAGTGTATGAAATCTGCTGTTAAATATTATATATATATATATGTGTGTGTGTGTGTGTGTGTTACAGTTAAAACCTGAAATCAGTTATCACATACTACCAGTTCCTACTAGTATCAATAAATATTCATACTGTCACATGTATTAGTGACTAAAGATGCAGGTTTGGATTGGTGAATCGATTTATTGGATGTTCACTAGTCATAACTATAAATAATTATAACACTTTCAAGATTACTATAATTATAACACACAAATAAATTCTTCTATATCTGCTTGAACTAGTCATTGCTAGATAACAGATATAAACAATGGCTATTCCTGAGCAAAGTTTTCCCTATCCATTACTTGGCAATGGATTTTAACAAAGGAACTGTAAGTGTCACACTCCAGATATCACTGTGCTATAGCACACATAAATCCTTCAAACCCCATATTACATCCTCACTGGCCAACTTCTAATTGTTCTTCAACTACGAACTTCCTGTGGCTATGTCCTACTGACTCGCACTCTGCAGTCTAATTCTGTCAACTGTCTTGGTCCAAGTCCAAGTCACATTGCGACTGATGGTGAGTCAGTCCTTAAGTCTTGGTGTCGAGCCCCATCTGGGGCTCATGACCAGATATTTATTACCTTAACAGTTATGGTCGTGTTTTTGTGGGGCACCCTCTCTGATGAGAGGATGGGTCTGCCTTTTGTATGTGCTGCTGGCCCTTGCCAGTGCAGTCTTTCTTGTGTGTGAGTCCCTTGGGACTCGAGACTATATTTTACTGTCTCAGATTTGAGACTTCCCATTTCGTCACCTCCTATGACTCGCAGGGTCACGGTGGAGGTATTCGACCCCGCCTCCACATGCGGTATCTGTCTCGGTTATTCTGGGAATCTCGTTATATAGCCACAGCATGGACCACACAGAGAACACAGTTCTGTTGTAAGAACCATTGTGTAATCTAGCAACTAGCCACAGAGAGCCAAGTTCCTATTGTTGTTTGGTGCAGACCACATAAAAAACACGGTTTCCTCTCTATTGTTGCATGTTGGGAAATGTTTACTGAACTGTTGCCTGGCAATGCTTTGATCAAACCTGTTACAATATTTTTGTATAATACAAATGCTGTCTGGTGTTAAATTTACATAATTATTTAGAAGCAATAAGGAAAAGTATTGACCTAAGAGGGGTATGGAATGAACTATCATTTAGTGAATAGAGTAATAAATACTATGTCTTGAAACTTTTAGTCAGGTTTCTATCTTAAGCAGTAGTAATTTTTAGCTCTTATGAAGGAATATTAATTTTGTATACAATGTTTAGGGAGTTCTAGAATTTACTACTAAGAACTGATAGTAATGTATTTCAGATTTTTCAGTAACATTTACACATGACAGGAGACTGTTCATGACTATATGTCTGTGGTTAGTTGACTCTGTGTGTATGTTATGTCATTCCCCGTTCCATAGTAGTTTTCACATGTTTCACAAGTGGCAGCTCAGTGTTCAAATCTGTGCCATCTGATGCATAAAGATGTAATTGAATTCACTGTCTTAACAGAAAAGGGGGGGGGAAGTCATGTAAAGGTTATAGAAGCAGTAAAGAAAAGGAAGAGAGGAAAGATGATATGAAAGAAATGATTACTTGTTGAATGTAAACCAGCTTTTCCACTAGTAGAATAGAACAGATATATTAAGGGAATTAGAAATATAACTCATATTGCACAAAATTCTGAAACACAAAACCATTTAAATTCAGCATCTTGACAAAATGCTAAGAAACAGATTTTTGAAACTATTACAAAATTGTGAACCACATAAGGGAACCTCCTTGGTTTTAGTCCACAAGTGAACTATACCAACCGAGTGACTGCCACTTGTTGGCAAAGTTAGTGCCAACTTTAGTGGACAGAGGGCATCGTGTGGTCAGCGCAATGAATCCCAATGACCATTAATTTCGGTTTTCTAGACCGGAGCCACTATTTCCTTGAAATAGTTCCTCAGTTATCCTCACGAGTCTGAGTGGACCCCATTCCAGACCAGCTACTTCTCAGAAAATCTGTTAGGGCCAGGAATCGAACCCAGACCTCTGGATCTATAGGCAGGAACTCTTAGACCACATGTGAACCACAATGATTTAGAAAATGGGAGATCTCTGTAGAGGCTAGATGCCTCACAGATTTCTATATCTGCCGCATTGTTGTTACCAACTCTAGCAGTTAAACAAAGATGAATTTTGAGTTCCCTGTATTCTACTTCTGAGATGTAAATATATATATATGCATGCTATTTTATACATTTATTTCTATATCAGCAGCATTACTAGAACTTCTATGAATGTTCCCATATTTTCTTTATGACACAGATGGTTTTTGATAATTTAATTTATTCATTTTGTATTCATATGTGCAAGTAAATTTCCATTCAAAAGCATCTTTTTGAGAGAATTTTTCTTTACAGCATCCTGTATGGACACAACAGTGTTGTATTATGGTTGAAATGGGAAACAGCAAACACTTATGCACTGATTTTCTCAACTACTTGACCGATAAGATGCAGAACATATCTAGAAATCTGAAACCAAAAGCTGCTTCAGCTAATAATGTTGAAAGTGAAGATTCTTTTGGTCACAAACCAGGAGATATAGAAAAAAGTTTTTATTTGTTCTACATGACAGAGAAACTCCTGAAGAAGTGGAAAACATTCCAGTCATCAAATAGGTCAGTAAACAAGAATGATACATCACAAGTTTATGGTGCTAATATATTAGAACTATGGAGACAGAACTGGTCACTGCCAAAAAGCAACGCTAACTCATCGGGTAGGAATGATAGTATAGAACAAAATCCAGCATCCAAGTGGAAAGATGTCCTGGAGGAATTGGTGATAAATTTCACTGAAGATTATCCATTCATTACATTATATGCCTTTCAATGTTTGGAGCTGCTACAGCAAGAGAGTTGAAGCATATACGACATTGATTTTGTAAGTCTGTGGGCTGACATATTCACATGTTTATGTTTACTCAACAAATACACTAGTTAGCTGTTTTTGTGCTAATTTAATTTAGAAAATAAATTCATTTTTGTTTGTTTGGTTGTGTATTTTGACATTTAGCTTATAGATATTTCTGAATGAAAAGCTGCTATCAAGATGTGACAGTAGACTTTATTTACTTTGATATCTGCAAAACAAAGGTTCAGAGTGGAGCATTCAGAAAGATATAACATGTATAGTGTGAAAAAGGTTAAAGATCTTGATGAAGTCCTGTCACTGAAGTGTGCTATTAGTTCAACAATATTTTTATTCTGAAAGTTATCTGACTATTACAAATTTAGCCCATTTCTACTCAGTTAAGTCCCTTCATTGGCAGTAGAATCCATCAGTTTACATAGGTATTTTTCATATTTTGCTTACTTTAGTTTCATTTACAACTATTCAAAACACTGATGTGTGAAAGAAAGAGGAAAATATATGATGTATTTCAGGAAATATGTCAGTGGTTAAAATGTTGTATATCCATTTCTGGAAAATCTTCTATTATTGTGTGTCCCAGATTGGTGAATCTGCTACATTTGTTCTGCACAAGTATTGTATGTCAGGAAATATCACCCTGGTGGCATTAAGGATTTAGAAATATTGTATGTCGTGCCAGATATCATATTAGTTCAACTCTAATATCAATTTAATGAAAACTTTGGATGTGGACATATGATATTTGTGTTTTGGATCATTAATACATACAGTGAACCCTCAATATAATGCAAGTTTCTGGGCTCAGCTTCGATAACCAGGTTATATATGAAATTGATATTTTTCTAATTTTTGTAACTTTTGGTTGTGGTAATTCAGATGGCCAGTGTCTCAATATTCTTACATTTGGTGGGTTGCTGATTTCTACAACAAGTCTGTTATTGTGTCCAAGTATGCTTTGATGGTGGAGTGTTGACAATCTATGCATTTCTTCTATGACAAATGGGATTTGCAGATCATTGAGGATAGTAAAGTTTGAGACATACCAAGGTGCTTTAGTTACTGAATGCAAGAATTTGGATTGAAGTCTTTGAATTTTTTTTTGTGTTTGATGATTTTGTACAGCCCCATAGCTGTATACCATATGTCCATATGGGTAGAGGTGATAGAACCTGGATTTCATTTGTTAATGTTGAAACCAAGGAGCAGTCAAAGCAATGGATGCACACATACTTACCAAACAAGCTGAAAAAAGTGTAAGGAAATGTTGTCTGCCAGAAAGCTGATGGCTTCTGTTTTCTGGGACAGGAGAGGAGTGCTGATGGTGGAATTCATGTAACAAGGGGTCACAATAACGTCAGAAGTGTATTGCAAGAGACTAAAACAACTGCTTAGGGCTATTCAGAACAAAAGGCATGGAATGCTGACATACAGTGTGGCAATGTGCACCCTCATGCAGCCATTCACATTCAAGCACAGATGGAGCATTTCAACTGGGAGTTGCTTGACAATCCTCCTTACAGCCCTGATCTTACTCCGAGCTACCACCACCTGTTTACCTACCTGAAGAACTGGTTGTGATCACAGTACTTCAACAATATTGAGGAGTTGATGGAAGGTGCCAAAACGTGGCTGAGCTCACAGGCCGCAGGCTTCTTTGACACAAAAATATAAAAACTTATTCACAGTTCTTTATTGGAGTCCGTCGTAACACAACAACATAATGGTCAAGGGTAAAATTATCTAGCTACATGTTTCGGCTTTTTAAAGCCATCATCAGGCAAAACACATGATTATTCCCTGATATGACAAGTGTGTTGAGAAGTAGCTCAAGTATATAAATAAAAGTAAAAAAGTAAAAGGTATCCCTGTGACAAGCCGTGGAGGCCCATAGGGTTGTGAGATGAGGTTCCCACATTTTCTAGACAATCGGATCATAGATGGCGGTAAGGTTGTCAGCCTTACACACCGGCCGCCCTTTATCCCCAAGAATATTCCTGGTACTCATTTCTGTTAAAGGCTGAGTCGACCCCAGGACCATAGTGTGGCTGAAAGGATTAGGCAAATAAAAAAAAATCAACCTCATCGGGAAGCTCAAGTATGTCCATATATTTTTTGTATAATATTTGTTTCTCATTTCTTGTTTTGTTAACAGCTCACTGGAGGCTACTTTCCGACTAGCCACAAAAATAGTTATGTCATGTGGTTTGTCAGAATCGATGACTTGTTTTTTCTTTCCAGTACATAATGCTTAACATTAAACAGATGCAGAAAACAATGGCGTTCTTTATTAGTCTGTTGTTCTGACCATCTGACCACCTTATTAATATTTGCTAGCCCACTGTTCAGTTTTGTTCAGAGATACCAGAAGCACACAGCCTATTCATAGCAGACTATGGACTTCACATACTGAGCCTTCTGTATAGTGGATACCATGGGGGTTTCATTGGGGGTATTGTGGCAATGGGTAACTCATTTTCTTCTAGTGCTGAGGCCTAGAATGCATGGAGATTTAGCACCATGTTCCTTACATTTTTCCATGGTATAGTACAGTACTTAAGGCATTGGGTGCCTTCACCCATGCTGTAGGGTAAGCATTTGGTCAGCTTCTTTTGATAATGTATTACGAGTGCACCAGCTCTGGTGTTACTGTAATGGTATATTCGCGTGACAGCAGGTCAAGACAAAATTTTATATTTGTATATTGAATATAATTAGTGTAAAAAGGTAAAGGATAAAGTTGTTCCTGTGCTTAACTAATTAAGTACTACGTCATCAAGGCGTGTGGGGGAATGGATGTATAGATCCACATTTTCTTGAATTCAGCAATAGCTGCAGGTGAGTGGTCAGCTTCACGCCACAGTTGCTTTATCCCCTGTGGATCCCCTGTTCCCATTGGATAGGAGGTTGGGTGGACCCCAGAGCTGGTCTGGACGACGTGGAGAAGAGAATATTATTGACCTACTGGGACTCGAACTCCAACCCCTTGGTCATCCAGCCCATAGCCTGTTGCTATACCGATTATGCTATCCTGGCTCATGTAGTGATATGTATTGCTGGATAAAGTCAATCATAAGATGAAGTTGGTTGTGCTATATTCGTTATCAACTTTCATCACCCTTTTGCCTGTAATTCTTATAAAACACAATTCAGTTGAAAGATATTTTATTCTTCCAATTTTACTATAGTGCAAAGGTACTATTGCCTATTTTATCTGTAACAGTAGTATAAATAGATTTCTCCCACCAGTGCCCCCTTAAACAATAAAAATATTGTATTAAATGTGATTAGCTATCAACTAGTCTGGATTATTTTCAGGAACATAACTTTTGCTAAATATGTCAAGACATCTCTGAAGTTCAAGGTACTGTAATTTACGGTCTGCATTTATTAATTTCAAGTTTTTTTTTCCTTTTTGAAAGCTACCAAATATCTTACTGGGCACGCGGTAGCGTAGTGGTTAAGGCACTATGCTACAAGTTGGAAGGTCGAGGGTTTAAATACCGATGAGGTCATTGGATTTTTTCCATTGGCCTAATCCTTCCGGCCGCACTATGGCACTATAATTTTCCAGGGGAGTAAAGCGCGGTCAGTGCGTAAGGCTGACAACCTTACCGCCATCTTTGAGCCGATTGTCTAGATAATGTGGGACCCTCAACGTTTCACAACCCTATGGGCCTTCGTGGCCTGTTACAGGGATAGCTTTAATTTTTTATTTTACTTACCAAAAATCTTAATGAAGATACAACAGAAACAACTTTGTTCTTTTGTAGAGATGTATTTAAAAACACATTCCACTCGAAATTATAACAGGCAACATTGCCTGTTATTTACCAAAAGTACATACAGTTCATATCTTAATACTATTTTAGGCCGTGCTGTCCTAACACTGACAAACTGAACCAGATTTAGAAAGCTGGTAGCACTGCTGTAGTGCTATTAAGTGGGTATTAGAGCGACAACAATGGCACTTGTTTTTTTCTCATGTCTTCACTCATCTTAAAATTATTCGTTCCAAGAAAAGTAAAGTTTCATTCATGTTAACAATACCTGAATCACCACTTTAAAGCTATGTTCTACGCATCATTTCAATTTCGTGCTTTAATATCAATGGACAGAAACTAGAAAATGGTTTAAAAATTATGTTCCTATAGACTTTATAGTCTCGTGACAATATAAAGACTAGTGGAGGGTCTTCACTTTCTCACATCACTGGAAGTTGTTGAATCCACTACTACCACAAAAATTCTTTGTCCTCATCGGATGGCCAGATTCCAGCGAGACTGTTAAATTGGTCACCACCACAACAAATGAAGTTCTTCCACTCACATCCAATACAAACATGTATTAAAATCTTTTTTTAATGACACTCTTTGATGTTATTACATATACGAGTATATCTTCCCGAATTCTCAAACAACTGTTCATTCTGTTCACGCCAAATTTCCTAAACAATTCTTATACGTTTAAAAATGCGTTAATAACGTCCATACTTATAAATAAACATCTGCAATATCATCACATTCTTTATCACAGTAAAATCTCTCTGAGATTTTTAAACGTTCGTGTAAGTTCTCTTTTGTTTTGATTCTCGTGATACAGTTAAATCCTTCGCAGTTAGTTGAGTGCCCCTGTCACTAGGTGTCAGGATCGTAGCTCTGCGACGATTTCCTCATCTCGCTCATTGGAAGAACTCCCGTCTCCTGCACAACAAATAGTGGGCAAGATATATTCCAGATTAACACATTGTCATAGTAACAAATGATAGTTGCTTATAAATTTGGGCCGCGCAATAGCTCAAGCGGTTAGTCGCTGGCTTCCCACAGCAGCGACCCGGGTTCGATCCCGGTCTGGTCAAGTGGGGTTTGTGGTGGACAAAGTGGCGCTGGGGCAGGTTTTCTCCAATTACTTCGGTTTCCCCTGCCAATCTTCATTCCACCAATTGCTCCACAATCACCCTCACCTATCATCTGGGTCTGGTACAGTAGGCCAGAAGTGGCCGCAGTACAAGGGACTTAATCCCACCCCACTAGCAATAAAAAAAACATAAATTTCCTAGACATTGAAACTTGACTGTAGGACGAATGCAAGGCCGGATTCAAGGTAGAGCGGCCTGGGTGGCCTCCCCGGGGCCTCCACAAAACAAATAGCATCCACAGGTTTTATTGAGACATCTGCTTTTCTAAAGTCACTAAAAGTTAGTTGGCATTTTTAATTATTATAAGAACTAAACAAGATATGTTGTTACTGATAGGGGCCTTCACATTTTCATTGCCCCATGCCGCCCACAAATGTGAATCCGACCTGTACGAATGCTGAGTGGTCAGGACGTGAAGCCTGTTGAGGCCTAGTGATGGATGGAGGTACTCACTGACCCCGTTGATATGCGGTATCTCTAGCTCTGCGGGAACGTAGGTGTTGCCAGAGGAACAACGCGTGCACGTCCTCTTCAGCGCCGGCCTCTGCCGCGACCCGTGACACCGTACAGCGAACCGAAGTTCCTCTGCCATCTCCGAACATAACGATTGCTGGAACACGTTGATAAAGTTTGAAAGTTTTAATTGCATCTTATCATTTTTGTACGAAACCGTCATTATAGAAATGAAAGCCTCCACGATTTCAGATGTATGATAACTGTAATACGGGAAGAGTTGTAATGTACGAGTATTTATTTTCGTTGTGGAGGACTTTCCGCGGAATATATCAGAATTAAATTCGGCATTCAGGAACTGTTAAGAAATAGCTAAGAATATTAAAATTGTACATACCCGGTCAGTTTGGGCATTTTTCTTCGAATTCCAACAGAATTCCAGTATGGCGACGAGAATAGCAAGTGCAAGACCACAAAGGAGTACGACGAACACGCCCCCTGAAACACACTCAAAAATTATTCTGTAACTTAGTTAAGAGAACTATTAATTTATAGATAGGAATTTAATTCCGGGCAGAATATCATAGGGGCACGCGGTAACGTAGTTGGTTGAGGCACAATGCTACAAGGCAGAAGGTCGCGGGTTCGAGTCCCGATGAGGTGGATTTTTCTTTCTTTTCAATTTACAAAATCCTTCCAGCCCTGGGGTCGACTCGGCCTCTAGAAATAAGTACCAGTAAACATCCTGGGGCCTGACAATCTTACCGCCATCTGTGAGCCGATTGTCTAGAGAAAATGTGGGAGTCTCGACGTCTCACAACTCTATGGGCCTTCACGGCCTGTGTCAGGGATAGCTTTACCTTTACCCATATTGAGTTGCACCCTTAATGAATGGCGTCTGTTACATATACCCCAGTTGTCTTAGCCTTATAGAAACGGTTCGGAATCGGGATAGCTCAGTCGATATAGCAACGTGCTACTGACTGGACGACCCAGGTTTTATTCCCGGATGTGCAAGATTTTTCTCTTCACAGCGTACAGACCGCATCTGGTGTCCACACAGCCTCCTATCCAATGGGTACCAGGGGCTGTTTCCACGGGAGATATAGCGGCAAAGGCGTGAAGCTGACCACTCACCTCCATCTACTGTCGAGGTCAAGGAAATGTGGAGCTATACCTTACTTACTTATGGAGCTGAGCCCTTCTTGAGGAGCCGCCAATTCTGCAGCTACTCAAGAATATCCCAGCATTTTATGGAACCCGGAGGTTTATTACTGTGTTCACAAGAGCCCTCCACTGGTCCTTATCCTGAACCAGATCAATCCAATGCATACCATCCCATCCTATCTCTCTAAGATCCATTTTAATGTTGTCCACCCACCTACGCCTTGGTCTTCCCAGTGGTCTCTTTCCTTTTGGATTCCCCACCTTTATTCTATATACATTCCTCTTCTCCCCCATTCATGCTACATGCCCTGCCCACCTCATCCTCCTTGACTTGATCATTCTAATTATACTTGGAGAAGAGTACAAGTTATGAAGTTCCTCATTATGCAGTTTTTCCTGTGGTTCTGTATGTTGTGAAACTTGGTCTCTGATATTAAGAGAGTAACATAGACTGAGGGTGTTTGAGAACGGAGTGTTGAGGAGAATAAATGGAGATATACCTCCAGTCCCCCATATGTCTTCATGGAAATAGTGCTTGACTGATTAAGCAAATGGGAAAGTGTACCTTTTACTTTTTTTTTTTTTTATAGAAACGGTTAAACCTGTGTACTCATGTATGTTGTATATGACGATTTAGTAAGCATACATGTGTTCAGGCGTTATCCAGATGTTCTGCTTTTTTTTTTTTTTTTGTGGTACCTCTCCGTGGACCATGTAAGCAGAGAACTCGCATTTGTCGGCGTACGATTGGTAGGCCTGCATGGTGGGACGGCATGTTGGGAATTATGGAGGTGTGATAGCGCGCTTAGTGTGGGAACGTTGCTGTGTAGTGTTTTTGGTGTAAGTGAGTGGAGTTCTGCTAAACGCAATTCCATGTAGTTTCTCTTCTTCAGAAAGAAACCGACAGCGAAACTTCACTTTCGGTTCGCAATCCAGCAGTTTGGATAAGCTTCATATGAACTGCGAGTGGTAAGTTTCAGGAACATTCACTGCTAGTGCATGCTCTCAGTCTACTTGATATATCATCTATCAAGAGAATTATCACGCGAAATGTCACTCTCTTCGCTTGAAACAAGACACAAATTGTTGTACTTGTTTGTGACTTAGCAGAACCCGTCTGAATACTTGGAACGCTGTGTGTGTAGAACGAAGTACCGGAAACACGGGACAGTGCGTCATGTACAAACTGTTGTATTATTTGACGTTTAGAATACAAGTTGTTTTATTTACAGAGACAATATATTTAATTCCTTTGTGTCTACATGCAAAATGTAGGAAGGTGTTCAAGTGTAATAGACACGCCTGTGATCCTTACACAGCATAGTTCGGCCTATCTCCGGACCGTTTGAACTCAGCGTCGATGAATACAGGGATATTTATTAAGGAATCCGTATTTCTTTTAAGTGTGTCTTGTTCTGCTAGATACAGGCAGAATTTTTATATCTGGCCTCTGCCCGTGATAAATATGGCCTCAAGTATCGGGTCAGTGGTTTCATCTGCATTATATGTGTGTGTTGGGAGGGGAGGGCGAAGCAATGCAACTGAGGCCCTGTTATAACCCATACCCTACAATTGCTATCTTAGTCAGTGGACTCGACCAGATTTAGTGCGCATGCTGCTGAGAGCGACCAGGTCAACAAATTTTGAGCCGTATATGACATGAAATGGGGCTTATGTTCTTTTGTATCATTATAATGAACTTAGTGTCACAGGAAATTACAGTATGATGCAACGAAATATTGGATATAGGAGCTCCGTAATCTTTATTTTTCGCCGGATATTATTAGGGTGGTGAGGGCATGCGGTAGCGTAGTTTGTTGAGGCACAGTGCTACAGGCCGAAAGGTCGCAGGTTCGATTCACGATGAGGTTATTTGATTTTTCAGTTAACCTAATCCTTCCAGCCGCACAATGGCCCTGAGGTCTGTTCAGCCTGTGACAGAAATGCGTACCAGGAATATTCCTGGGGGTAGAGGGCGGCCGGCTCGTAAGGCTCACAATCTTACCGCCATCTGTGAGCCGATTGTCTAGAAAATGTGAGAACATCGACGTCTCACAACCCTATGGGCCTCCACNCATAAATAATAACGAATTGAATTATTATTATTATTATTATTATTATTATTATTATTATTATTAAGGTTGCGAGGTAAAGAAATGATGAAATGGGCAGGTCGCGTATTGTGCACAGGAAAAATGGCGAATTCAGACAAATTTGTAACCGGAAAACGTGAAGGGTATGAGCATTAGAAATAGATTCGTCAGTCATAGATATTACGCAGCGGTATGGCGTCACGAACACGCCATGAAGGCGTGTGGGGGAGTGGATGTATAGATCCTCATATTCTTGGCCTCGGTACCAGTTGGAGGTTAGTGGCCAGCTTCACGCCCCGGCTGCTTTATCCCCGGGGAAAGTGCTCCCGGTACCCATCGGATAGAAGGTTGGGTGGACCCCAGAGCAAGTCTAGACACATATTGTAATCCATGTTGAAGTTACTGTCCTCTGGGCCTTAGTACAACATTTTTTTTGTCACAGAGTGCATGAAATGAAGTACAGAGTGAGATCATGTCCGTTTGCCTGTATATATGTCTACATGTTCCTTTTCCGCAAATACTGAACCGGTTTCAATTAAATTTGGTACTGGAGAAAGTATGTTTGAAGTTACCAAGTGATTTTTTTTAAGTTTGTGTCTAGAACGTATTAACTTTTGCTTTACATGAAGCAAGATTTTACCTAATTGATTATTCAGAGCTATTCCTTTTACTCATTCACTCACTCACACACAAACACAAACACAAACTAAATATTAATCACTGGCCTGGAACTCGTCTAGTCTCAGGAGCGAATGTTATTGTAGGAATATTTTTTCGAGACTTACCAATATTTTCGATGCCAAGGGCGTTGGCCTTCGACTCCTTACTCTTCTCGTCCCTGTTGCATACGTCACCTGTGTTCTTCCACCACTTATCATACAGGATCTGAATCACACCCTTCTCCTGTAACTCCAGAATCGCTAGAGAGATTTTGTCTCTCCATTGTGACCCTGTAAGATTTATCATTTTCATCGGTATGTCTGCCCATGGAACATTTCTACTTTCACGCAGTGGTTTCTTTCCTGCTTCATACGAACGGATTAAAAAGAAAGCATAATAGGGGGGTCGTATCCACCTTCCAACATGGATGTTTCTAACAAAGAAATAACATTTGAAATCTAGGCTAGATATTTTCGGCTTAAATTAATTTTGATTCATATGGGCCGAGTATTTTAACATCAATTTTAAATCGAACTTAGGAATGCACAAATCGGCTCTTTGTATAAGAAATTGTTATGAAATGTGATTAGTATACTGGCCTGTCTGTGATGACATGATGTATCTTACCTTTAGGGGTGGCGATGCCGTATCCCTTCGAGTCCAGTAGCCCTCCGATCTGAGTAAGATTGCAGTCTCTTTGTACCGCGTAGTCCAGCATGGTGGACTCCATTAGGAAGGCGTAGTTCCCTTCTAGCACCCTCTTCACACCATCTTCATACGTCGAAACGAACACAGACGGCTTCTTGCTCTCCATGAACTTCCACATCTTCTGGTAGACACCGATTTTAGAGTCCTGGGAACGATACATTTTTCATTGAATCTAAATTGTGACGTGTATACCCATTGCTAGGCAACGACTCGGTAAACACATTTCCTCGCGACAATAGAACGTCTATTGCTATGCAACAGCTCGGTAAACACCTCGTCAACAATACGGGCTGTGTTTTCTGTGTGGTCAATGCCGAGGGGTTATAAAAGGACACAGTCAGAAGGTGGGGGTCGAACCCCGTGTGGAGGCGTGGTCGAATACCTCCACCGTGACCCTGCGAGTAGTAGGAGGCGACGAAAAGGGAAGTCTCAAATGTGAGACAGTAAATATGGTCGCAAGTCCCAAGGGACTAGGACCCGGGAAACACTGCACTGTCAAGGACCAGCAGCATATGCAAAAGACAGACTCGTCCTCTCGTCAGAGAGGGCGCCCACAGAAAGAAGACGGTAACAGTCGAGGAGTAATAAATATCTGGTCATGAGCCCTAGGAGGGTGCTCGATACCAAGACTTACTGACTAACTGACCGTCAGTCGCAATGTGACTTGGACTTGGAGGTGGGGTCGAATACATCCACCGTGACCCTGCGAAATGTAGGTAGTAAGACATGGTCGTGAGTCCTAAGGGACTCGGGCCCGAGAAAGACTGCGCTGGCAAGGACCAGCAGCATATACAAAAGGCAGACCCGTCCTCTCGTCAGAGAGGGCGCCCCACAAAAACAAGACCGTAACTCCCAACAAGTATTAAATATCTGGTCATGAGCCCCAGGTGGGTGTTTTATTCGAAGACACACTGGTCGACTGACCGACGGCCGTAACGTCACTTTTACTTTGACTTTGACGTGATGAAATAGTAGAAATAGGGGTATAGAATAGTAGTCCTAGGAGCGATACATTCATCATTGAATCTGAGTGTGAAGAACATCGAGGATTTTCTTGTAAATTCTATGCGGCCATCTTTACTGAGAAAAACAGCAAGACACTGACTGGTCACAAGCGGGGAAGGTACTGGATGCTGTGAGCAGGGCGGTGGGCGTATTACATACAGACCAAAATTAAAAGAAACAGATACAGAACGGAACACTCTTGTATAATGAGAAACGAAAATAAGAACATTTTTTTTATCCATATACTTCCCAGCCCGGCGCGTAAGGCTGGCATGACAACCTCACCGCCTTCTGTGAACCGATTGTCTAGACAAAATGTGTAAACCTCGACGTCTAACAACCTTATGGGCCTTCACGGTCCGTGGCCTGTGGTCCACAAGCTAAGTATACCGATCGAGCGACTGCCGTTTGTCGGCGAAGTTAGTGCCAACTTTTTGCGGATAGAGGGTGTCGTGTGGTAGGCGCAACGGATCCCCACGAGCGTTAATCTCGGTTTTCTAGACCGGAATACAGGAATAGCTTTACCTTTTTTAACCTTACCCATGCTTATTAAGAAGATAGGTTAGGTGTTTTATGACGCATGCGCAAGGATAAATCGAAGCACGGTAACATAGAGTAAAGGAAACGTTCACCGACGTTTCGAATTGAAACACTGAATTAGAGAGTATTCTTGAGTTTCAGAATGGAGAAGCTGAAACCATGTTGAAATGAAATTCGACGCCGGCGTCGGATTTTTGTTCCGGCGATGAGCTTGTGATAAATTGCGACCGCAGCGATGAGGTGCAGTGCCAGCAGAGTATGCGCGTAAAATATGCGAATCTAAATCTAAGCTTAAATATTACACAGCGACTCATGTAGGGCCTACATTAACTAACTAATTATGTAATTAGCTAACTAACCGACGTCACGGAGCAGAGTCTTCCTTCAGACCCGAATGTTTATTGCCATGTTCATAAGAGCCCGCCAGTGGTCCCTATCCTGATCCAAATTAATCCAATCCAAAAATTCATATTAAGTTTATTTAATATCCATTCGACCTGTGACAAGGTGTTCCAAATGATCTATTTCCTTTATTTTTTTTCGTACCGAAAGAACCTGTGTTTACCTACCCTCATCTACTCCTTATCAAGGTCTACGCTAATTAACCCAGTACAGAGCAACATAACCCATACTTAACGGCAAGTTAACCACTTCATGTTCAGAGTACAAACAAACAAACTCCGTAGTTTTAGTCCGCAAGCGAACTATACCGACCAAGCGAGCGCCGCTTGTCGGTGAAGTTAGTGCCAACTTTAGCGGATAGAGGGTGTCGCGTGGTCACCGCAACGAATCCCCACGGCCGTTAATTTCGGCTTTCTACACCCGGGGCCGATATTTCAAGGAAATAGCTCCTCAATTATCTTCACGAGGCTGAGTGTACCCCGTTCCAGACTCACTGCTTCTCAGAAAATCTGGTAGCGCCGGGAATCGAACCCGGACCTCTGGATCTGTAGCCAGGAACTCTGACCACTAGGCTACAGAGGCTGTCGTTCAGAGTATAAAATTTCGAAACTGCATACAGTTCCACATAGCGTTGCCCCAACCTCTCAAGATGAGACGACCTTTGTGTTAGTAATGTTGTTGGTATAGCTCCCTAGCACGACGGTGAAGTGGCCATATATGGAATGACGTAGCCCACATTACGGGATTAATTTTATATTCCGGTCAGTGTCAAAAGAAACACTGAAAACGGAAAAAGGAAGGAAATGAATTGACAAGAAAGTAAACACAATCTGAAAACAATCTAACCGTATGAAAAGTTGTCACATTTGTAAAAGAGAGAACTACAAAAATGATAAGGTAAAGCTATCCCTGCAACAGGCCGTGGAGACCCATAGAGTTGTGAGACGTCGACGCTCCCACATTTTTTCTAAACAGTCTTTGGCTCACAGATTGCAGTAAGGTTGTCAACTCTACGCGCCGGCCGTCCTTTACCCCCAGAAAGATGCCTGCTACTCATTTCTGTTAGAGGCTGAGTCGAAGCAGGGCCATAGTGCGGCTGGAAGGATTAGGTCAACTGAAAAATAATTCACCTCATCGGGACTCGAACCCGCGACCTTCCGGCTTGTAGCATAGTGCCTCAAATATCTACGCTCTCGAGCCCAAAAGAAAGAAGTGATATCAGAAATATTTATTTAGAGTGTTATTGGAGAATTTACTCATCCTCCAGTATTTCATTTCTCACGTTTCGAGATAAAGGATAGTAGAGAGACGTTAACAAACGGATTCACATGCTAAATTTTAAATTTTATTTTTATATGTACGTTACATAAATTTGTACCCGAAAAGATCAAGTTTGCGGAGATGTTACATTTTCTCTTCTTGTACTCTCCCCCCCCCCCCACAGCGTCAATTTTNAGTTTGCGGAGATGTTCCTTTTTTCTTTCTTGTACTCCCCCCCCCCCCCCAAGTGTACATTTTGTGAGTTGAGTTAATGAGCTGTTCTCTGCCTCACACCACCTACCTCAGTGTAACAGTGGCGGTTCCGGATTTCACTTAGCGGCGAATCATATTGCCTGTAAAAACTGGTACTACTTTGCTCTAGAAACGAGAGATATAAATCATAATTGCAACTGCACTTCTCAGTTCTGCTGTGAAGCTCGGCTGCAGTAACCAGCGGTTTCAGAAATTTCCACCTTCTAAGACTTCCGTTTTACAGCGCGGTAGATGGCACAAAAGGAAAACATATTAATAAATAATTCGTTACGTCTCCCTTTGGGCATCTCAAAGAGAACACACCAATTAGTCCGCTTAGTGCTGAGCAGATTCTTTGATGTTTTCTGGCATTCCTTTTGAAATGTGTCTGACTGTGATGTAAGTGCTTATAACAGTTTTGAGCATTCTCAGTTTTCAAGTCGTGCCGTTGTGATATATTTCATTTGGTGGATTTTACAGACATTCAGCTACATTCCTCACGAATCTGCAGTTACATTGAGTCAGAAATATTTCGATCCTAGGATTATTATGAAGGATACATGTCACATAATTGAATGAAGTTATGGATTCATGAATGTTTTATCGAGATAATATTACTTACTCCATGGCTTTAGTCCGCAAGCGAACTATACCGGATTTGTTGCGCTGACTACGCGACAACCTCTATCCGCTGAAGTTATACTAACTTCGCCAACAAGCGGCGGTCGCTCGGTCGGTATAGTTATCTAAATGGTTATAATTGTATTAAATTGTAACAAAACAATATTATTTGAAATCTAAAGGTATCTATAGCTAGTCATTTTAAAATTGTATATTTATTTTTAATACGAAACATAATCATAAAACGTTATTGACTAACTTCTTATACGTGTAGGAGAGGTCTTCTGTTGAGTAACTATTAGTGTCTCAGCTAGTCAAATTCGGGGCATGCGGTAGCGTGGTTGGTCGAGGCAGTATGCTACAAACCGGAAGGTCGCCGGCTCGATTCTCGATTAGATCATTGGATTTTCTTTTTCAATCGACCTAGTAATTCCACCTGAACGATGACCCTTTAGCATCTAACAGAAATGAGTACCAGGAATCTTCCTGGGTGGGTAAAAGGCGGGCGGCGCGTAATACTGACAACCTTGCCGCCATGTGTTAGCCGACTGTCTAGAAAATGTGGGAACCTCGACGTCTCACAATCTTATGGACCTACACGGCCGGTTACAAAGATAACTCATACAGCATTTATCGGTCCTTAGGCATGCGCTGATGATCTGATTGTGAAATGCGAGAGGGTGTGCATCATATCCGGACAGTCGTTTCGAAATATTTCTATTTAATGTGGATCTTGTTCCTGGTTGATAACATCTGTATGTACGGTATGTATTGCCAGCGTTACGGGGATCCCCACTGTTGCAATTTTTAAGGGTGAGTACCCAGTGACCCCTTACTTACTTACTTACTTACATACTTACTCACTCATGGAGATGAGCCCTTCTGGAGGAGTCGCCAATTCTGCAGATACTCAAGAATTTCCAAGTATTTTATGGAATCTGAAGGTTCATCACCGTGTTCACAAGAGCCCTCCACGGGTCTCTATCCTGAGCGAGATCAATCCAATCCATTCCGTCCCATCCTATCTCTCTAAGATCCATTTTAATATTGTCCGCCCACCAACGCCTTTGTCTTCCCAGTGGTTCTTTCCCTCTGGCTTTCCAACTAATATCCTATATGCATTCCTCGCCTCCCCCATTCGTGCTACATGCCCCGCCCACCTCACCCTCCTTGAATTGATCATTCTAATTATACTTAAAGAAGAGTACAAGTTATGAAGCTCCTCATTATGCAGTTTTCTCCAACTTCCTGTCACTTCATCTCCACCCAGTGACCCCTGCAGCCATTAATTCTTGCAGTTCAAGCTCTGCCATTGGCTGGAGCAGTTCACTACCCCCAGTATATCGCACATTCCGCATTAACCTTGAATCACCGGGCGTATCTGATCTTATCTATGTATCTTTCCACATTTCTGTATTTCTTTGGGCTTTTCTTTATCCATCGAGTTCTTCCTGTCTTTGTATTCCACACCTGAACCTGCATCACAGCTTTCTTCCTTGTAAATATCTTATTATTATGAAGAAAGCAGTCTTCTGGGATTTGGCACCGTGTATATGTGGTGTTAACCGACGTTTCGGAGGAACGTATCGCCTCCATCTTCAGGGTAGAAGAAAAAATATAAGAAATCTGCAAAGCGAAGAGACCGTGAGAACCGGTAAAAGCAGACTGCTTTCTTCATAGTCACCGCCGTGAAAGCCTCAAATCTTACATCTTATTATTACTTCTAGATATTTGAATATCATCGCATTGTTGAAATGTATTAGTGTTGTATGCATTAGGAATCATTTTATTCCACCGATCACCAGATGCGGTGCATGTTTATATTCCCACCTAATTGTCACCAGTTTCTTCAGCGTTTCTTAATATCGCTTTATGAAAATCCAAATTGAAAACAGTAGAAGCAGCACTATAACAGGGAATTCGAATCAAGATTTGTTTTCTCAACCCCAGGGCTTAAGTTATAGAAGACAGTTACACCCCGCCGTATGTTTGAAACTAAGCATAATTCCAGTAACATTTCAGTCACCCACGCCAGAAGCCTACCGAGTTCCCAGAATCTTGGTAATAAAGGCAAAATACACAGAAATAATTACATAAAGAACATTAACGCATCTCCTCTGCGTGTTTGTCTCTCAGTATAGAAACAACTTCGCCTGTAGCAATTATTGTTGATTAATTAAGGTTAACTCCAGTGAAGACCCGTTCCTTTTGAAGTGGGAGGAACAGTTATAGAGTTCCACTTCTCCGCTCTCTGTGCTTAAGTTATAATTTACAACGGCACCAGTTTTATAATCACATTCATAATATAAATAGAAGAAAATTAACAGCAATATGATTCACTTTAAGCAAGAACGCGAGTCGCTGCAAATAAATAAGGCTACGTTTTGTCTCATTCCGTCTTTAATTATCTCCCGGCCCCTAGGAGATATCTCGTATCCTATGTATAACAGAGAGACAAGTTCTGATTACGTACTTCATTGCGAATACGCACGGACTACACGTAAGCAAACGCGAGGCAGGTAGCAGATCTAATTAAAAGTGTTCATAACGTGCAGTGTTTCAGTTGAGGATGCTGTATGGACGTATTTTCATTTCATCAGCTAGCACCCTCTGTGGAAATTTCCTAATGACGAAAGGTTGCAGTCAGTGATAAATATTTTCAGACATGTTTATAGCGAAACACACCAAGAAATTATACACTCGAATATGAACAAAAACTTTATATTAGAGTGCCACTCAAAAGGAATGAAGACCTTTGGGAAGACTTGTGAAATGAACGAATGTATTCTGTAATATCCGTAAAAAGTTAAAGTTGTTCCTGTGCGTAACTAATTAAGCACTACGCCATGAAGACGTATTGGAGGGAGGGGATTGGATGTATAGATCCATATTTTCTTGACCTCGGCACTAGTTGGAAGTGGTCATCTTCACGCCCCGGCCGCTTTACCCCCAGGGAAAGAGACCGCGGTATCCATTGGATATGAGGCTGGGTGGATCCCAGAGCCGGTCTGAACAACATGAAGAAGTGAGAATTCTTGACCCTACCGGGACTCGAACTCCGACCTCTCGTTCGTCCAGGCCGCAGCCAGTCGCTATACCGACTACGCTATTCCGGCTCCTCCTGTAATATCCGTAACAAGTTTCAATAGGCACGATCCTGGAAAAGATAAAATTAATTAGGGCCCGGATATATAAACCAGCACTTACAGCGAACCAGCACCAAGCACGTGCATGGAAGGTGAGTTTAGCTGTAGATCGTGGGATGTTTCACGGTACTATCCCAGCCTTCACCTGAAGAGGATGAGTAAGATCTCTATGAGGGTAACCGATCCATTTGCTGAGATTCGAGTTCGCTGTACGGGCAAATGCACGGGACCGAATAGATTGGTTCAAGTGGTAATGCTTCTGATATGTAAAGATTGCCTGCTGTCTTTTCGACGTGACGCCAGAAGCTACTATGAAGATGGAAGCCACGAGTTCTTCCGTAATCTCGAATGATTCCAGCAATATAACCAAGAATTATTATTACTCGGGTAATTATTACTCGCATCGCGTCACCAGGCCACATGGCGTCATATCCTGCGAGACAGCAATCTTCATAGTCACAGCTGTGAGAACATAGGTAGTCGCTCTGACTTGTATTCTGGAGATATCCGATTCAAATGTCGGCCTGGACACAGAATTTTTATTGAAGTTTTTGTGGTTTTCTCAGTTCCTCAACGGAAATTCCACGATCGCTTTCTATCACATCATTCCCAATTTACTGGTCATTAATCAACCAGTAATTTGACGTTATGTGTATTGCGACTTACGGTCATTGTCGTTAAAGCAGCTGCAAATAAATAGGTAAATATTGTCACGCGTATGCGTGACTTATAAGACGGGGTTTGGATAGGATGATTGGATCTGTTGCACCTTATTCACACAACTCGAGACTACAGGTAATACAGCGCTATCGCTATTCTACACCGTTCCACACGCATTATGGTTCTCAGTCTTCACTAGCCGTATCCTGGCAACGGATTTATCACAGCCTGACTGTCACAACAAATCACACATTAAGTCTTCTTGGCACAGTCTAATACCCTTCTTGCCATTTCCTCTCAATCACCTTTGATTGCCATCTCCAGAACTTTGCTCAATTCTAATTCTAGCTGCGCGAGATCCTCGTTATATAGCCTCGAGACGGACCGACAGAGAACACTCTGAATTGTTGACGAGGGGTATACCGCGCCGGTGCCTAGTAGTAGACGTATGTTGAGCGCGTTTGTTGCTGGAATGTGTTTACCGACCTGTTGCCTAGAAGTTGGTATACATGTCACAATATGTAAATAAATAAATAAAAGATGTTCGATGCTGCCTTAGATCTCATGGATATAAGGTTTGACCTGATGATAGTAAATGGTAGATATAGGCCCTATATAATATATACCTAGTTATTATTATTATTATTATTATTGGAGGGGTTGGGTTTCCCCATGCACCGCGACCAGTTGTTGATCTATTGTACGTCCCCCTTTGATATTCTACCAGTCGCCATACCCTGCCGGTACTGGTGCGTGCTATCAGCCCCGTTGAGCCAACAAGGTCGGCCCTCGGTGCCTTGATGCTTCCCCCATCTACCAGAGGCATTGGAAACTACTTGGGTGGGAAACTAGTCTAATTTTGCTCAGAGGTCTCCTAGAGATATGAGGATCTCTTACGTGCCGTAAATCTACGACACGGGACCCACGGCTTAAAGTCCCTCCCGGAGGACTTGTTCCCTGAATTTTTCCGCCCTTAAAAATTCCACGGCCTCCGCCGGGTTTGAACCCGCGTACCTTGAGTCATGAGGTGGGAACGTTACCCATAGACTACGGAGGCCGCTTATACCTAGTTAAATAAACGTGGAATAAATTGTATATTTGTTGTGTCCTCACCCTGAAGAACGTCATGGTAGAACCACCCTCCAGGGTTCCATATGAGATCTCCGTCTGCTGTGCAAGATCCGCCGCGTTCTCTATCGGGGTGATCATCCTCTCTACCGTGAGGAAGGCGGCCAGGTTGGCTGTGTAGGACGAGATGATGATGAGCGTGAAGAACCACCAGATACCTCCCACGATACGTGTTGAGGTAGCCTGCAGAATAAACAGAACAGGTGGCTACGTCAGGCTACCAAGGTGCCAGCTGGATGCAATTCATAAACAAGCAGAATCGCTGTAATTTTCAAGGTACCGAGATGCCAACTGGATACACGTCATGAACTAACAGAACAGCTGTAATTTTCAAGGTACCCAGATGCCAACTGGATACACGTCATGAACTAACAGAACAGCAGTAATTTTCAAGGTACCCAGATGCCAACTGGGATATACGTCATGAACTAACAGAACAGCAGTAATTTTCAAGGTACCCAGATGCCAACTGGGATATACGTCATGAACTAACAGAATAGCAGTAATTTTCAAGGTACCCAGATGCCAACTGGGATATACGTCATGAACTAACAGAACAGCAGTAATTTTCGAGGTACCCAGATGTCAACTGGGATAGACGTCATGAACTAACAGAACAGCAGTAATTTTCAAGGTACCCAGATTCCAACTGGATACACGTCATGAACAAACAGAACAGCTGTAATTTTCGCACGTCATGAACAAACAACAGTTGTAATTTTCAAGGCGCACAGATGCCAGCTGGATACACGTCATGAACAAACAGAACAGCTGTAATTTTCAAGGTGCACAGATTCCAACTGGATACACATCATGAACAAACAGAACAGCTGTAATTTTAGGGGTACCCAGGTATCAACTGGATACATGTCGTGAACAAACAGAACAGCTGTAATTTTCAAAATACCCAGGTGTCAACTGGATACACGTCATGAACAAGCAGAACAGCTGTCCGTAACGTATATAGAGACGTTCTGTTATACAGCCAACCCCTTATACTAAAACTGAAAAGTAGGGTTACATTCTATATTGTGCTACATAGTATCCTTGTCGGCTCAAACACAGGGATCGTGGGTTCGTATTCTACTCTAGGCTTGAATGTCCGCGGTTTTCTGTGTAGGTACCGGCTGTCTATAAGATAAACAGTTGAAGATTAATTCTGATGGGACACAGGCCAGAAGACCAAATACGAAAGGTAGAAGAAGAAGAAAAGTGAAAGAGATTTAAATGTTAAATTAATTAATTTACAACACGTAGTGAAAGAACTTGCTTCACACCTTACACTCAGTATACACAAAACGCAGGAATCAGATCACCATCCCAAGTGCGCTTGTACCACAGAGTCTTGAAGAAATAAGCGCTCCTCATCGTGTAATCGGACTTCACGTATAGTGATTACATTTGAAGGATAATCTTTTTGTTAATCTTAATTTACAGAAGAGGCCTCAATCTACTCAACTAATTGTTTTTATGTCAAGACGTCACGTGATGTAGTATGATTTCTGTGATGGCAACGAAGCAGTGGGTGAGCATGGTGCAGGAAGTGTCACGTGCGGAAAACCTATTGTAACAGGGGAGACAAAGAAGTGCTCAAAACGCTCATGCTCGACGTTGCTAAAATAAAACTTCAAGAATAAATTTCTCAATCCATACTTGCCGCATCTTTCTCATTCTTGCAACAATCTATGCAGCGAATTTGTTTGAACAAGATAATATCGTAGCATGCTATTGCGCACCATTCATTTATTCATGTTAGTTGTTACCGTTTCCCACGCAACTTGCTTTTTAAAACGTTTAAAATTTCAAAAGTTTCAAAAAGNAATTGTCTGTTTCTTGCACCAGACTCTTCATTTAAGAAGAGACATAACAAAACGTAGATCTGGGAACAAAGCAGCACAAATGCTTATGGCACTATGGACCTTGACCTACCCTGTCTAAGGAATTCCTACCGGCTGTATATAGGATTAATAAACTGAATAAAACGTCAAAGTTCCAACAAAAATGAACGTAGAGCCATAGATAGATAGACATATGTGGGGCGCTCTCTCTGACGGGAGGACGGGTGTGTTCTTTACAATTGCTGCTGGTCCTCAACAACGTAGTCATTTTCGGGTCCGCGTCCCGTGGGACTCGTGACCATATTTACACTCTGAGATTCGGGACGTCCATTTTTGTCGCCTCTTACGACTCGCATGGCTACGATGGAGGTATTCGACCCCGCCTTACACGGGATTCCTCGCTGAAGATAACACGGTCGGTCGAGTAATATAGCCTCGGAGCGGACCCACAGAGCACACCTCCTTCATCACATCGTCTAGTGTTGTGTGACGTCACCACGCACGCGTACGCTGCTGGCGCTACATAGCAACGGCTGTGCCCGTCAAGTATCTATTGTTGCGTGCGGGAATTACCTAATGACGGCTGAGGTTTACAGAGACACCTCTTAGCAACGGGTCCATACGCCACAATATATAGGCATACATAGGCATACCAATTCAACTTATAGACATAATAACAGTTTCCCAGCTTTCTGTGTTGTGTGCTTAGAGCAAATCGTAGAGATAAGAACATACACAAGAATTCTATCGTCTGGGATATAACTCCATGCAGTCCGTTGAAAATGAAGCGAAGTTTTGGAAGAAATATTTCGTGACCATCTTCAGGGTCGAGGAATGTCAGGCAAGAAACCAGCTGATTACACGGCGTTGTATCCGAAAAGATAGGATTCTTCATAACCACTGCTGTGTGACCATCATATCCTACGATTTATTTTAGTTGTCAGTAATATTAATTAATCTTGTATAGAAGCATTATTTGCGCCTAGAATGTTAATAGTTCACAGTATACACACGTAAAGTATATTAAAATCCTTAATTTTTCAGTGCATACAATGCGAATTGTTACGTAAGAACAGACATTAAAAACACAATAATCAGTGCTTATTTCGTGTAAAATTGTATAGTACATTCATTCTTACCAAACAGCCTATAATATGAAAGAATATAAAAGCAGTATGCCAGTCTCCAAAATGTCATGTATTTTCGGCGACTTTAACTAGTATATTCCTATGGGACTTCAAGTAACGGTAATTATTTCTGTATAATAAACAAAAGAAGAAAGAAATCGGGATAGCTCAGTCGGTATAGTGACTAGACTGTGGTCTCGACAAATGAGGTTCGTTCCCCTGCAAGAGAAAAAGATTTTTCTCCTCCCGATGTCCTTCGGACTGACACTGGGACCTATTCAGACTCCTGTCCAATGGGCACCGGGGCACCCTATCCCCAGGGTTAAAACTGGCGAGATATGATGCTCACCACTCACCTCAATCTAGTACCGAGGTTAAGAATGGCGTGCAGCTGTTCCGCCAATCCTCCCTGTGCCTTCATGGAGTGTTGCTTAATTAAGAACAGGCACAAATTTAATTTTACTTACCATTGTTATGTGGTAGATCACTCAGGAGTGTTTTATTCGTGTCCGCGCATACTATTTGGACCCATAAATTGTAATCCTTCGGAACCCAAATATGAATCTTTCTCTCAGTTATAATTGAGTGATGTACTGTATAAATACAACTTGATACAAGACATTAAATTCGCACCTCATACTTGTCAAATCAGTATTCTGACCTATGTCATGGAAATGAATGTTGTGATACAGCGACAAGAATATCTAATTAGACTCCATGGCACTACCTTGGGGTTGAGGTCTGATCCCTGCTGCATTAAGGTCCCGATTGCGAACCAGAAACTGTTGGCCAATGTGAAGTCATTCTCGGTAACTAGAAGTGCTGCCTGTACTGTATTAGTGGGTGGACAGTCGCATCCCCCACCCTCACCCGTATGACAAGGGTTGGGCGCACTCCATTCGTATGGTGAGAACCGTGCCACGATCCACATTGTCAAGGATACCACGATGTAGGCTCCGAACATGTAGAGCCAGATCTCCACCGCTAGAGGGTTCAGGAATGAGAACAGGCGGCTAGGCATGCTCTCAGAGATCTGTAAGAATGCACTTTACTCATAAGGGAGATCCGTGGCATTGAATTTAGTGTTCTGAGGTTGTTCCACAGTCTTGATCTTCATGATGATGCTATCCGTCCAAATGTCCGTACCGGCCAGGATGGCCTAACGGTAAAAGACAGTCAAAAAAAGGTAAAGCTATCCCTGTAACACGACATGAAGGTACATAGGGTTGTGAGACGTCGAGGCTTCCATATTTTTTCCAGACAATCGGCTCACAGATGACGGTAAAGTTGTCAGTCTTACGCGCCGGCCGCTCTTTACCCCCCTAGGAAGATTCCTGGTATTCATTTCTGTTAGAGGCTGAGTCGACCCGAGGACTGTAGTGGGTCTGGAAGGATTAGGTCAATTGAAAAAGTCCACCTCATCGGGACTCGAACCCGCGAACTTCCAGCCTCAACCAACTACGCTACAGCGTGACAGGAATGAACTCAATTCTAATATACTGACTGTGGATTCTCCTTCCTATCCGGAGTTCCTCCAGTCAAATACTGGAACAGTATCTCGTTAACCAAGGACAGCCTCTTCAAAATCTTAAAAATTCATCACTCAGGAATCATCCTCTGTAGTGCAAATGCTGACAGCGCCATAAAATAAACCATAAACAAATAATTATGAACAAAAGATCATAGTTGAATCGTTAGCAGCCATTTTTATTTGGGAGTCCCCGGTTAGATTCTGTATTAAAGAGGTAGACTCCCCTCTCAGACTTTTTTCCCTGCTTCTGAGATAGGACCCTAAAATAGATGACGATGTATGAATATGGTGTGTGTGGCTGCATTTTGGTATGTTGGTACGCACCGGGCTGAAAGATTAAGTCGGCCAGATATGTCGAAGATAGTGGCAAATTATAGTTGAACAGAAGTGTTATGAATTTTATTTAAATGTGGAAATGCGGATAATATGTGTGTTCAAGGGCGTGTGGATATTAATTTTATGAGTGTAGTCATGTGTGTATATATAGCAATGAGTACATTTTGTGTTATATTGAGTACAACATGGGCGATTGAATGAGATTCAGATGCGTGACATACGTACGTGTGACTTGGAAGAGAAGCCGTGTTTTCCAGTGTTATATTGAATGTGTACCCGTGTAAATATGGAATTCATGGCATAATGTGCAACGCTTGAATGTGTGTAAAGAAATGGTTGCAGCATACAACAGTCAGTCAAGAAATATGACCACCATTGTGGAAGTTCTATGAACTCCTACGTGAACAAAGTAAGCAAGCAACAAAGTAACTAACGCCTTGGAACCGAGACATTTTTGAGGAGCTCCCAGTTTTGCAGTTACTCAAGAGTTTCCCAACATTTTATGATACCCGAAAGTTCATTACCTTGTTCACAAGAGCCCTACACTGGTCTCTATTCTGAGCCAGATCAGTCCACCCGATACCACTCCATACTCTCCCTCTAAGATCCTTTATATTATTATGCACCCACCTACGTCTTGGTCTTTTACTGGTCTCTTTCCTTCTGGTTTTTCCACCAATAACCTATATGAATTCCTCTTCTCCACATTCGTACCACATACCCTTCCCACCTCATCCTCCTTGACTTGATCATACTTGGAGAAGAGTACAAGTTACAAACCTCATTATGCAGTTCTCATTAACGTCTTGTCACCTCATCCCTCTTCGGCACAAATATTCTCCTTAGCACACTGTTCTCAAATACCATCAGTCTATGTTCCTCCCTAAATGTCAGAGACCAAGTTTCACACCCATACAGAGCCAAAAGAAAATATATAGTTTTGTGTATTCTAATTTTTACGTTTTTAGACAGCAGATTCTGGACTGAATGGTAGCAAGAATTACCAAAATCCAATCTCCTCTTAATTTCCTCCTGAATCAAAATTTGATTTATTACTGTTGTTCCCAAATATTTGAACTGTGCCACATTTTCAAAGGATGTGTTAGCTGTCTTTATGTCATGATGTTTCCTGTATTCTGATGATGAGACAGCAATATGTACTTAGTTTTCTGTGCAGTTACTTCCTTACTGGCGTCAGTTAAAATTTCTGTCTTTTTCTTTCTGACATATGTGGTATCTACAGATTTACATCATCAGCATAGACCAGCAGTAATGTGTCCCATTTAATTTCAGGTCCACCTGGCTTTTCTGGACCTTCCAAATGGCAAGTTGATAAACATTGGCGATAATACATCTTATTTAGACCATTTTTGATAGGAAACTTGCCATACTGTATCAGTTTCAACATCAGAGGGGTTAGGATCAGGTATTAACTGCTCAGCTTTGTGTATCTCTATCTGCCTAGCGTCACTGACCCTATGTACATTCAGTAACTGAGAGAAGTAGTTCTTCCACATGTTACAGTTTTTTTTTGGGAATCTGCAAGTAGATCACAATTCTAATTCTTTACTAAGTTATTTTATGCCGGTAACCCTTCGTAAATTTATTTATATCTCTGTACAGGTGTGTAATGTTCTTGTTCTTACTGTTCTTTGCCTGTTCATTAATTTTGTCTTTGAGATACTCCCTCTTTTTATTCCTGATATGCGTGTTGGCTTCACGTCTTATATTGTTCAGAATATCCCCATTTATTTTGCTTCGATACTCTAACCTCTGCAGTTTTGCTTGTTTTCTTCGATCTAATGATTTTGAGCATTCTTCGTTGAACCATGGTTTTGCTTCTTCAGTTCGTAATAACCCAGACTGTCTTTGGCTAAAGTGTTGATATTTTCTCTGTAAGTTTACCAGGCTCTATTAATATCCACCTCATTGTCTGAGTTTGTCGAATTTTATTACGTGGTACTTTCATGCATCAGCCTATCCTAACCTAATCTGGCCCGTCCTTAGCAGCCGAATATGTCCAAGACGTGAGCGAACGCGCAAGTGCATGCACACTTGTCTCCTTCGAAATGGTATCCTAGCCTAACCTAACCTAACGTTACGTCACGTAAGGAATCACAACTTGTTATGTTTAGGTTCTGTTTGAATACGCAGATGTATGCTCGATGGCCTGCGATGGGCCAGTTTTCCGTGGCGCTTTTGTCTTCTCAGCTCACAAATTCGCGAATAATCAATCACTCAATCAAGACTGAGTTTAGTAATTGGATATGTAAGGGAGGGTACAGGAGCTGAGCGTTAAGGTGTTATATGACACTTAAATTGATTTGTGGCAAGTATTTTTCATCATGTCGGGTATCGTCAATTGTACCTGTAAAGGAAGTTAACACAAAGTTGACACATAACTGAGCGGCTACCTTGGGGTTGATTCCAGACCCTTGTCTCAGGAAAGTACCAGTGATGAACCAGAAACTGTTGGACACAGAGAACTGATTCTCGACTATGTCAGATTCTGCGAGACAGGGATGAGGGTTGTTCCACTCGTAGGGTGAGAAACGAGCCATGACGAACAGGGTGAAGCTGACCAGCACGTAGGCGGCCAACACGTAGATCCAGATTTCTGCTGCCAGTGGGTTCATGAAGCTGAACAGTCTGGTGGGCTGGCTGGTTGGCACCTGAACAAGTGGCTGGAGTGTGTTAATGTTGCTGCTTCTCCACGTACTAAATGTCTGCTTTTGTTATGAAAAAGTTAGATAGTTCTGTTCAGTGTGACTGGTTATGATTTCCTTACTTCAATTACTCATGCCCTTACATGTTTACGTCTTCAGAGACCAGAGACCTTTTACATCAAAACAGTTAAAAACCACTATTACAGTACGTGTTCTAAAAGATAAAATATATACATACAATATAAATAATATACAATTGGCAGTAAAATCTAAAGTCTTTACAACTACAGCGGCTGTTCCAATACTTCAAAATATTTATAGTTAGTTTGTCAAGATTCTCTTGGAATTCGTAAACCAAGCGGATTCGTGTCGTCCCTCTTATTATTTCTTTTGGCGGGGGCCGAATGTGTGCCACTTTGCCGTTCTCGAGAAGAGGGCTCTTTAATGTTGTTCTGTATGTGTTTGTGGCCCGCTGTGTTGCTTTTGTTTCAATATTTCACAATTTATATTATTGAAAAATTATAAATAATATTTCTATAATTTGTAAAGGAAGTTTCTATTTTTACTAACACCGCTAATAAACATATTAAACAAAATGTCTGTAAACGGAATAAGTTTGAATAGGGCAAGCGCGTGCTATAATCTGGGTAGTTACATTTTCATTTACTGTAGCTAATTGTAAATAGTTTATAGAATATTGAAGATTATCTTCATTGGTCTCTGGCAAAACAGTTTTTTCGTGCATCAATTCCCCGTCTGTAAAAATTCTGATGGAAAGCCATAGCATAAAATATTATTTATATATTGCTCATGACATATTACCCCAGTAAAATAGGGTAAGTGAGTAGTAGCTGTGTTTTCCTCTTTCATTTTTAATTGTTTCACTAATGCGGCAACTGTACAACAAGGAATTTCTATGATATTAAGATTTTTGTATAATTCTATAGTGTGGGTCCCACTGGTTTTATGAACGTGTTACTGTAACTCAGTACAAAATGTTTACGGCTATGACAACAAAAATGGACTCTTCATCTTGAAGTGTACATACATCCACAATTTCTTACAGGTCAATATAAACTAATCTGTAATACCGTTTGAAAACATTTCCCATACTGGAGCAAGTGTTTGGGGTATACTTCCCACCGCGGCTCCCCGGGTTCGATCCCGGGTCTGGTCAAGTGGGACTTGTGGTGGACAAAGTGGCGCTGGGGCAGGTTTTCTTCGAATACTTAGATTTACCATGCCAATCTTCATTCCACCAATTGCTCCACAATAACCCTCACCTGTCATCTGGGGCTGGTACAATAGGCCAGAAGTGGCCGCAGTACAAGGGAGTTAGTCCCACCCCACTAGCATAAAAAAGAAGTCTTTGGGGTAACTGCACTTTATACTCTCACACTTCCTCCCAGTAGTGAAACTTGAAAGGGAAAGTGATTTATACATAAAAACAAGCTAAAAGATTAATGCAGCGTAATAATTTACACTCATTTGATTAGAATGAACTAGTGTAGAAAAGTGGGAACTGTGAAAACTTGATTAAGTCGAATTCCAGGAGATGAGTGACAGTTATGTCTGCAGCACTGCAACTCTCCCTCCTAGTTCATGTGGAAGTCTGAACTGATCGGTGGTTTAACATCACTCATCATCATCATAATCAGTTCACACACCCTTACAGGTCGGTTGGGCGACTGCATTGTTAATCAACTCAAAAGCTTGCGTTCATGTCAGCAGGTGTAACATCTTCAAATTAGCAACTGACCAACACCTTTACCCCGTTCACGCTGTTGCCCCACTCAACCTTATATCGGTACTGACACTGCAATTCTCGGATCGCGGAAAATAAATCCCATGTCGTTGTTCGAGGCTTCGCCCTGTCTGCCTACTGCTGTATTCCCTTCGAGACTCTTTTTGATGAGTCATTGCAATTTGGTTTGTTTCCTTTGATGTAATAATTTTGAGCATCGTTCGTCAAACCATGGCTTATGCTTCTTCAGTTCATAATAACCTAGACTTTCTTCTGCTGAAATTTTTATATTTTGTCTAATAGTTTCCCACGCTCTATTAATATCCACCTCAGTGTCTAAATTTTCTAAAGCTGCGGACCTATTTCAGATTTCAACATGATATTGCTCTGTGCCCTCTACCTCGTTTACTATCTCGATATTGAACCTCTCCTAAGAATTCTGCGCGTTGTTTGTTTACTCACTGCCAGTCTCTCCCTAACTTTTTCCGCCACCAGGTAGTCGTCAGTATTACAATTACATCAAGTACACTTAAATGCCGTCTCCTGTCTATCAAAATATGGTTAGTTGGACAATTACCTTGAATAATATTCCGATGCCGAGATTCATAAAGGGTTTTGTGAAATCTATCACGCTTTCTCGTGCGTAATTGATTGTCATAGATGCCACAGCCAGATCAGCTCTCTGGAAAGCGAACAGAAACAGACACAGTTATAACGAATTCTTTATTCCTGCTCGGGGCAACCTGCATATGAACATTTTGTAGCTTGAATAACGTTTTTACAACAAAATTATTTCGTCACCTTTGTAGTAGAGATGTTTTCACAAGGCAGTCTAAAGGTGAAATTGTTCTCAGCAGTGAAAGAAACAAAGATTTTAAGACCATTTTCTGCGTAGGATAAGGGGAAAAAAGGAAATCTAGGATGAGGGTGTATGAGGAGAATATTTGAATGGACGAAACAGGAAATAGCAGGATGCTGGAGAATACTGCACATTTGTGTTATTCACAGATGTTATTGGTTTATAAAATCAAGGGGGATAAGATGAGCGGGCCATGTAGCAAGCATGGAAACTATAAGGAATGCATAGTACAGTCTGTCAGAAGACTGAAATTTTGAGACTTAGATGAGAGATGTTAAAACAGACCCCGAAGAAATAATATATTGTGACATGATTGCAAGGAGTTAGTTATGAGATAGTCTCAAATCCGTAAGGACGTGAGCACGGAAGCAAAGGAGATTACTGTGAACCGTTACCAGGCAACGGCTGTTGAAGACGCAGCAAACTGAGAAGATTTAGCGTGTGCTGTAGTGAGAGGTAGAGTGCTTACATCAGTAAGATCATTCTAATTACGTGTAGTTACGATTTATAAAAATTCAATAAATCTAATTACCAACCCAAACCCCATCTCTAGTCATTAACACGTGACAGTATAATGTGTGGATTGTATTCACGTGACACAAGTAGGGATTAATGGCAGCTTCTTTGTGAACACTGTAATGAACGTTATGGTTACATAAAAGCTTCGATTTCTTGATAAGTTGAGCGACTGTAATTCTCTGAAAGATTCTGTTGCATGTAGTCAGATTTATGTTAAAAGAGAAGAGACCATAATGTGTTCCATTTCTTACAATACACGCTTTCATTTGGCGTTTAGAACAAAGCATGTGGCTTCAAGATTAAGGATAAACAAACCAATGTTTCTTTATTGGAACGAACCACAATTAAATGATATGGTTCACTGGCTGGTGAAGATCTAATTATACACTTGCGTTGGTTTAGATCTGCCTTTGGTTGCGAAGCTATCGTCTTCAGTTTTAGTAGAATATTTTGATATTGAGACACTGGCAGTCTTTGTGAGTCTTGGGGCATGAGAAGAAAGTTTATGTTACGTGTATGCGTGCAGAAGTGATCCATGGTAGTTCAAATATAAACGGTGTTTTGATACGGAAAATGTTAATGTAATTTTTGTATTTTAAATGATTGTTGAAGAATTAGTTACTTCATGAACAATAATTTATATTAATATAATAAAGAGATACGATCGGAGATTGTGCATCTGATTCATGTGACTCAGGACAGGGCAAAGAACCTTCGGGTTTCACAAAATTCAAATACGTGTTGTTTGACGGCTGCTTGTATTAATTAATTAATTAATTCGTTCATTCATGCACGAGATTCATCTGCATCAGGTTAGGTCTCATTGCCTGGTTCTTGTAAATACCGTAATGAAAATTTGGGTTCTACGAAAGGTAGATAATTTCTAGATTAACTGAATCAATTTTATGTTTTTAGTAAGGACTCTTATCCATGTAGTTGGTCAGTCGGTCAGTCCTGTTATTAGAGGTTCCAAACAATCCTTTATAAGATATGTCACTCTTAAATCTGCATATAAATACATATGTGTGGTCTCATGAAAAGAACGGAAAGCCCATTATACATATAATAATTACCAATATAATGGTGCGAATGCACGTAGTGACAGTAAAAGAAATTGCTCCTCTGCTTAACTAATGAAGCCCTACGCCATGAAGACGTACTGGGGGAGTGGATATATAGATCCACGTTTTCTTGACCTCGGCACTAGTTCGAGGTGAGTGGTCAGCTTCTCGCCTCGGCCTCTTTACGCCCGGGAAAGAGCCCGCGGTACCCATCGTACCCAGTCGCTATACCGACTACGCTATTCCGGTTCTTCATGTGGTGGTAGTAGGAGCAATAAATCTTTGGGAAATTATTCCACTGCGCTGTAAACATGCGAATGGGCAAACAGGCCTACCCATAATGTTGCTTGTGCCAAAATTTGAACAGATAATCTATCAAATTGAAATTATAAAATTATAGCGACTTTAATATGTGGTATTTGCTGTTTTAACGGCGGTGACTTTGAAGAAAGCAGTCTTCTGGGATGTGGGGCCGTGTATATGTGGTGTTAACCGACGTTTCGGAGGAACGTATCGCCCCCATCTTCAGTGTAGAAGGAAAAAAATAAGATCCGCAAGCGAAGAAACAGTGAGAGCAGGTGCAAGCAATTTACACGACTGAAAATAATAATAATAATTATAATTTATTTGGAACTAAAATGACAGTGACTTTTTTAATTACTAAGCTCTCCACTTCCCGTACCCAAAATTCAACCATAACATCCAATTTTGAAACAACACAAAACACAAATATTAATGAGCTCCTGTATATAAGCATTTCTCATGAAAATGAGTGCACTGACGACAGAGAGACTATAGTAGGCAGATCCATCTAGAGGCAGAGTTAGTACTATACTACCTCCCAGCAATACGTGCGCACTAATAATCCTACGCATCATCATAATGATATAGATATCGATGGATCTTCAATATGATGACAACTATGAATTAATTCAGAAGAGTAATAAGTGAATATCTTAAGTGAAAGAAATGAAATGATAATCTACAGGACTAAAGTAAAACATATAATAATTAAATTAATAGCAAACAAAATAACGAACCGATATAAAAGTAATATTATCTTTAATTGAATGTCAGGCCATTCGAGACCGAGTGCTGTCTGTTAATCAGTAATCGAATTCGAAAACCCTCCCACATTTCTGCATTTACTAAATGATATTCCATTGTTGCACGGAATTACAATAAGGTAATTACAATATTATGTGGGTATAGTGACGCAGGAAGCTGTGGTAATATCCGGGGTCCCAGATGGCGCCATCTAGCTCGCTCGCATCCATTAAAACAAAAGAGAGTCATCTCCCACACTCTATTTAATTTGCGGCCATCATATTAGATTCATGTCGGCAGAGGTTCTCTTATGAATAATATTAGTATACAAGTTGGTATAATGGCGTGTTTGAATTTTAAATGTGTCCGGACAACTCTGAGTTAAGATTTTGGTGCACGGTTGAGCCCAGTAAAATCATTTTCCCTTTGAGATTTTTGAACCTCAGACGTTGTATAAGTGGACAGTGTAGTTTCGTATACTTTATATCTAGCGTAAATTCCTTTGGAAATTCAACGGGGAATAGTTAAAGAAAAACTTCATCACAAATAACTGATGTCATTAACTGAAAAGTTTCTAAAATACATATGTAATCTATTAAGATACTAAACACGATAGAATATATATACTCTACGCCTAAAAAAGTTAAACTATCCCTCAACAGACCATGGAGGCCCATAAGGTTGTGAGACGTCGAGGCTCCCACACTTTCTCTAGACAGTCGGCTCAAAGATAATGGTGAGGTTCTCAGCCTTATGCGCCGGTCGCCCTTTACCCCCAGGAAGATTCCTGGTACTCATTTCTGTTAGAGGCTGAGTCGACCTCAGGGCCATAGTGCGGCTGGAAGGATTAGGTAATTTAAAAAAATCCACTTCATCGGGATTTGATTCCGCGACCTTCCGGCTTGTAGCATAGTGCCTCAACCAACTACGCTACCGCGTACCCTAGGGAGTTAAAGTAGGCGACATAGGAAGTTACCGCAGTACTGTAAAGGGGTAACAGTTCCTTGTAGACACAGATGAGAAGGTGAGTATTGTCCCATTCCAGAAGATATGAAAGGAGGAAGAACCAGATTGGCTTATGAGCCGCTGCAGCGCAGTTAGTATAGCGACTGGCTACAGCCTGGACGGCTGAGGGGCCGGAGTTCCAGTCCAGGTAGCGGCAAGATTTTTCTCAGGTTCTGGGGCCTACCCAGCCTCCTGTCCAATGGATACCGGGGATAAAGCGACCGGGGCGTGAAGCTGACCGCTCACCTTCAATTAATACCGAGATCAAGAATACGTGGATCTGTGCATCCACTCCCCCATACGCCTTCACGGCATAGTACTTAATTTGTTAAGCACAGGGACAGGTTTACTTTACAAAAGTGGTTACGGCTTTAAGGAAGTTAATGCGTGACGTCAGAGAGAGATATGCTCCATTGATAAGCTAGTGTGCGTAGAATTTGAGGATCGGCAGGCAGAGACTGTGTGCTTACGTTCAGCAACAAGCAGTAACACTGAATATATGTCAAGCAGCAACACGTCGCACGAGACAGCGGTTGCGGTTGGGAAGGCAGCGACAAGAAACGGACTAAGTTGAAAGAATCGAACGTCAGTATTCACTGATTGAGTCACTGAGTAACTAAAAGGTAATAACTAACAAATGCAGTATAATAATCAGTAATTACTTTGTACCGTAGATTGATTAATGAGAGATAAGTAAAATATTTGTCCCTTTGCTTAACTAATTAAGCAGTAGTTCTAGAAGACGTATGGGGAAGTGGATATATAGATCCACGTATTCTTGATCTCGGCACTAGTTGGAGGTGAGTGGTCAGCTTCAAGCTCCGGCCGCTTTACCCTGGGGTAAAAAGCCCCTGATACTCAGTGGGTAGGCTGGGCCCCAGAACCGGTCTAGGCGACGTGAAGAGCAAAATCTTATCCCTACCCGGACGATCCTTTGTTTGTACACTGTTCTACTGTCGTGTGCTTGCTCATAAACTAACGAGGCACAGAAATATTGTAAAAGTTCTGTAGTGTGAGCACTCAAGATCTCAAATAGCACTCAAGCAGAAAACACAGCCTCTCTATTGTTGCGAAGGCATGTTTACAGCGCTGTTGCCTAGCAACGGAATTTATTCAGTTGTTGCTTGCTTATTCGTTGCCGCGGGAATGTGTTTACCGAGTCGTTGCATAGCAATGAACGTCTATTCTAACTTCACTATTCCAGCTTTCGGGCGTCATGTCACAGTATGTAGGATTTCGATGGCGAAGCCAGAAGGAAGGAGGCCTCTAGGAAGACGTAGAGACATAGGTGATAGGATAATATTAAAATGGATCATAGAGAGATAGGATGGGTTGGTATGGACTGAATTCATCTGGCTTAGGATAGGGACTGGTTGAGGGCTCTTGTGAACACGGTTATGATTTACGTTTTCCATAAAATGTTGGAAAATTCTTGAGTAGGTGCCCAACTTGTGGCTTCTCTCTCTTCTCATGTTTCACCTTTTAAAATTATTTTGATAGCACTTTAAGTTAGGATAAGTTCAAAGGTTTCTGACGGCAGTATATGGCAGTAACTATGCAGATTGTCAGTCGTAGTTATTGCCACTGGGAGTTTACAAAAAAATTGTTGAAATAATCTCGTTCTGGCTTTGTAGATACAGTGCAATCGATTCCCTTCCTTCAAGAAATTTAAAACGAACTTTTTTTTTCCTTGGCACTACAGCCCCAGTGGGCCTAGGCGTACTTCCATGAACGTCTCCGTTCAGTTCGGTTTTTCTCGATCTTACACATACGGTAGGACTCCTTGGGCGAGTGATCAGCTCGTCGCAAGGCCTTTACCTGTAGACAAACACAGAAAAACGCACACAAACATCCATGCCCTGAGTGGGATTCAGACCCACGATCCCGGCTTCCGAGCGAGCGAAGACAGTGCATGCCAAAACGAACTTTATCAGATTTATTTAAAAGGTACAGGGTGAAATAAACTTTTGTCTAACATTGAATATGTTTATTTACTCTCACAGTATGTAACTTTTAATTAAAATACCTTTCTCTCAAACACCTCTAGGCCTATTTGACAAATATAAGAAACATACATGACTTCCGGTCGTTGAATCGGACGTGAATAGTAATATAATTTAGCTTTTTTTTTTTCCTTGGCACTACAGCCCCAGTGGGCCTAAGCCTACCTCCATGAACTTCTCCGTTCACTTCGGTTTTTCTAGATCTTACACATTCGGTGGGACTCCTTGGGCGGGTGATCAGCTCGTCGCAAGGCCTCTACCTGTACACAAACACAGAAAAACGCACACACACAAACTAAATATCCATGCCCTGAGTGGGATTTGAACCCACGATCCCGGTTTCAAAGCTAGCGAAGACAGTACATGCCTTGGACCGCTCGGCTACCGTGACCGGAAATTTAGCTATTTAGCTTTGTGAATATGCCTACAGCAACCGGAAGGCGTTGGAAATTATCTCACATTCTCGCCCAGTGTCTATATTTGTCATAGCTAACGCATAAATAATTACCATATGAAGTAGATACACATGAATACGTAAACATATTAGAGTCGGATAAGCTACAATAATAATTAAGGTTTTCAGAATCATAACTGGAGTACGAAACCATGTAGACCGCCAGAAGTTCACCGACGTTTCGGAGGGCGACGTAGTGCTATGCTTTATGCTTATTCTTTCTGTTTGATGTCTTGTTTTTCGACTTACCTCCGAAACGTCGGTGGACTTTTATTGGACTAGGCAGCATCACGTTCCGGAAGATGTTACCCTCGAACAGTGTATAAATGTGATGTATTGGAGTACCATTTTACTTAATATTGGAAAAAATCTACTTTATCCAGGATTTATTTTATTAATACCGCATGGGGTTTTGTGACCCGTAAGTGAGCACTCACCTTCTCCATGAGTTCCCTGACGATACCATTCCATTCCTTGGTGTGTGGGTCGTACACTCCATACATATGGTCTGGCACAAGGCGGATGACGTAGTGGAAGCCCACTTGGGACGCGATCAGCTTCAGCAAGTCGATGCAGAACCCTTCGTATCGCGCGTTGCCCGTGAAGTTCCGCTCTTCTTTCACCATCACGTACGGTTTCTCCTATCACCAGCACACAGAGGCACTCAGCATGTAACTCGCCCCAAAGGAATGGACAGTCCTAATACAAACTCTCACAATTCTGAACATGGGGAAGAGATTGTTATGGTTCTGAAGAAGGAGCTCCGTGACTTCCGAAACAAATTTGTTTGAGATTTCCGTCTTGGGAACAGTATTGAAGCAAGATTCCCTTCTTCAGAACCGTATCGAACCAAGAGTTCCTCCTTGAGAACCTTATTGAACCTATAATTCCTTCTTCGGATCCATATACGTAGATCCAACTTTCTTCTGCGCCATATCGATCCAAATTTCCTTCTTGGGAACCTTGGGTATCAAGAGTATTTTGTTTGTAAGATTCCTTCTGAGAGCAAGTACGTAAAAATGGAAGAAAGGATGACTGGAGGGACATACGCTTATATCAGAGAAAGTAGTTGTAGCCTCGTTTTACGGCTTATATCATGATTTCTCTGAGAAGAACTGAAGACAGCTACAGAGATCCTCAGTCAGGATTGCCATCTTCAGGTCGGGACTCCAACTAGGAACCTTGTAAATGCCACATCGTGTATATGCTGCTTCCTTGCTAAACTGTGTCCAAAACATTTAAGAGGATGCGTGTTCCCTAGGTAATGACGTAGCTCGTTACATCATCAGTGGAAATTTACAAGATCCTATTTTCGACATAGAATGGGAACCAAAATTACTAGATCCTAGATCACGTCTTCGTCCAAGCAGTTTCGTACGTTTTCGTGGTGGGTAGTAAAACCGTACTTATTTCCTTTGCCATAAATACTGTTTTTACCTTTATAAATTGTTATATGTTACTCAGTCATATGCTGCCCAGTTTTCTTCGAAAATTTTACTGGTAATTAAATCTTAGTTATTCCAACTGAGAGGGTGTATGTTTTCAGAAATAGGCCCCATTTTACTTTTCAGTGCATCTTAATCTAAGAGAAAAATTTAAGTTTCCAGTTTGCAGTTATTGAAATGTGATTATACGTCTCACATTTCGTTGAAAAAATAATATATAAAAACTCATCGAAAGTTCGCCAAGTTCTTAAGACGCTCCACGGTGATTATTTTCAGCAGTAATAGCTTACAAGCTGTGTAATGAAGATTCTAATTACAGTGTATATCATTTGAAGTTCTGCGTTTAATAAAATAAGAAGAGCTGAAGAACCTGTACACCCACACAAATGAAGAGATGAAAATTGCAGAACAGTGAATTAAAAATATACGCAAAATGAGATAACTGCTTTTTTTGTATACACTTCTTAAATTGCTGCTAAGTTCAAAGCTGTGAGATTTTCAGCTCATTTTATTGCTTTAATGGAACTTTGAGGCGTGTTCATTTTCATATTTCTATTCGTTTTGTTTATTTAATAGTATCATTTTTTTCCTCAGCAAGCAAGATTTGGAGAATATGTCGGTGTAAAAAGTAATTAAGTAAAGCTATCCCTGTACCAGGACCTGAAGGCCCATAGGGTTGTGAGACGCTGAGGGTCACACATTACCTAGACAATCGTCTCAAAGATGGCGGTAAAGTTGTCAGCCTTACGCGCCGGCCGCGCTTTACTCCCCAGGAAAATTATTTAATTAATTCATGGTACTCATTTCTGTTAGAGGCTGAGTGAACCCCAGGGCCATAGAGAGATATATAGAGAAGCATAAAATGAATACCTTCACAATGTACATTCTTAGCCAAATTTTATTTTGCGAACGGAATATGGAAAGATGAGATGGGCTGGATATGTATAATGCGTTGACGAACATAAAAATCGTACCAAATTTTGAACTGACACGCATATTGGACATTTTCCGTCGCCATATTTTCTTGAAAAAAAAAAAGAAAAAAACATTACGGAAGATGGGCATCCTTCCATCATCAGATAAAGAGGATGAAACCTACATTGTTGGGCCCATTAGATAGGATTAATCTCTGTACCAGGGCCTGACCCAATCCGATTAATAACACACTTTCGTCACAAAGACGTGGGTGGGAAATCTGAAAAGTAGGGACCAAGTGGGAAATGTCTATACAGCACGTATTAATAAAATTGATGTTGCTGAACAAGTTGGCATACCGATAACATTCTTGTCTCTTATTCGGGGAGGTGCTGCTTTCGAATCTCGGTCGAGACACCTGCTATCGTGACTGAAGATTTTCGTGATATTTCCTCAGGTCTTCCTGAAACGTACCAAACTAATATCTCGATAAGACCAATTTAGATCGATCCTTCATCGTTCTACCAATCGGCGCTAGTCTAGCTAATGACGGGGACGTAGAATGATCCAGAAAAACAATGGAGTTTAAGGGACAGGGTGTACAAGTGTGACCTGGATTAATCTGGCCCTGGATACATTCAGATGGTAGGCCTTCTGTCAACTCCGTGGCTTTAGTCCGCAAGCGAACTATACCGACCGTGAGACCGCCGCGTGTCGGCGAAGTTAGTGTCAACTTTAGCGGATAGAGGGTGTCTCGTGGCCAGTGCAACGAATCCCCACGGCCGTTAATTTCGGGTTTCTAGAACGGAGCCGCTATTTCCATGAAATGGCTCCTCAATTATCCTCACGAGGCTGAGTGGACCCCGTTCAAGACCCATTTCTTCTCAGAAAATCTGGTAGCGTATGGAATCGAACCAGCAGACCTCTGGATCTGTAGCTAGGAACTCTGACCACTAGACAACAAAGACGGTCGTGGCCTTGTATCAACACTGCATTGAAACTTCGCGGTTCTTTAAAATCAAAATTTTCTTCATCAGCTCAATAAATTTGAACTATTCAAAGAAAAAGATTTTCTTATTTGGTACTATGCTACAAGCCGGAAGGTCGAAGGTTCAAGTCCCGATGTGTTCATTGAATTTTTTCAATTGACCTAATCCTTCCAGCCGCACTATGGCCTTGGGGTCGACTTAGCCTCTAACAGAAATGAGTACCAGGAATTAATTAAATAATTTTCCTGGGGAGTGAAGCGCGGCCGGCGCGTAAGGCTGACATCATTACCGCCATCTCTGAGCCGATTGTCAAGGTAATGTGGGATCCTTAACGTCTCACAACCCTATGGGCCTTCACGGCCTGTTACAGGGATAGCTTTACTTTACTTACTTACTTACATGATTAATAATAAGGAGAAAAATACGTACTTCTCTTGTCATTACGATGAGTGTGATGTTGGAAACACTCGTCTCGTAGAAGGCAGTGGGATCCGTGACGTTTATTCCCGTGGCTGGGCTCCACTGCCCAACTTTCCGGATTTCTTCTTGCTTCAGTTTCAGAAGGTCGAGTTTGAAGTTGCTTCTCTTCCCTTCGTTGAATTCTATGTGACCAGTGAGCCCGTGTAGGCCGGCCTGCAATACACACCAGTATCACAATGCACTAACGTCAGGTCACTGTGGTGGCGCAGTTGTACCTTATGTACCTACCCGCGAGTCGCTTTATAAATGTAAAGGCATAGCTATCACTGTAACAGGCCGTGGAGGCCCATAGGGTTGTAAGACATCGAGGCTCCCACATTTTCTAGACAGTCGACTCACATACGACCGTAAGGTTGTCAGCCTTACGCACTGGCCGCCCTTTATTTCTAGAAAGATTCCTGGCACACATTTCTATTAATGGCTGAATCCACCTCAGGGCCGTAATGCTGCTGGAACGATTAGGTAAACTGAAAAATCCGACGACTTCAATAGGGACTCGAACCCGCGACCTGTCGGCTTGTAGCATAGTGCCTCAACCAAGTACGCGTGTCCCCGCATTATAAGTATTGTGACATGTTGCGCAAAGGAGAACCCCCACCACCAGCAGTGACGCGGCGGGTGAATCAGCGCTCCCCTCCCCCTCCTCCGCACGGTAACGTAACGGTGACGCAACCGGATTGTTACGGTAGTAACAGCGGTTACTACCGCTTGCGTTGCTAGCAACACAGCGCCAGGCAACAAGGGTGCATATTACGTGGCCGTATTGTCCGATCGAGGCTACATAGGGAGCAGCGAAGGCTATTCACAGTCAGTTGTACTGAGAGAGTCAGTCAGTCCTGGAGCTACCGCCGAGTGTGATATCAACAGTTCTCCAGTGAGCAGACTACCGTTGGAATATAGCAGCCGTCGCGGTAAGAAGATCCGGACGTGTGTGCGATTGTGTAATTGGGAGCGTGTGATACAGTGATACAAAGCTCCCCTACTGTCAACGTGTTACTACTGAAGACAGAGTGAACTGATTTGCGCATAGGGTTATAAGTCGTGAAACCCCGCAACAGTGTTAACAGATTAATGCGATTAGGGTTATAAAGTGTGGAACCCCGCAACTGTGTAATAATTAATTGTAGCCGTTATTTGAAGATTGTTAAATAAACCGATTAACCATCTCTACGGCGTATTCTGTAACGTAAACACGTTACACTGGTGTCAGAAGTGGGATCAGTAACGCAAGACACGTTACAGTATATTTTGTTCCAGCATTGCATTACAAATACCTGCCCTGCAATGAACAGATATATGAAGCACAATCACACAAAACAAGCATTGAACTCTTTTAAAGTTTAAAGTCGTTCCTTTGAAGTAAATAAAATTTCGCTAAATTGTATCAATATCTCATACTATCATGTAGACAAAAAAAAAATCCATGTTTTTCTAAGTTGTTCATTGCAAGTCTTGTGAAATCAGGCGAGAAATTAAATATGATATATAGTAAACATTTGTGATGAAGTTTGATGAGGGGCGGGAAAGCGTAAATGCGTGTTTTGGGAGACGAAAGTTTGCTAGGTTACAGAAAACATATGCGGTACACACGCGGCCCGCGAGCTGCCACTCGGAAAGCCCTGCATTAACTTGCTGTTGATCGCCTGGCTTTCTTTCAGAAGGATTCGCATAGCTGTGAAGTGATAGAAGGAAATACAGAAATGGACAGCAGACCTGTGCCTAAAATATTAGAGATTATAATAAATCGTTTAGATTAATTCATGTTAATTGGAACAATTTTCAATTAAATCGCTATTTTATGTTTAAGGGTGCCTGTAAGGGGCCCCTATTTTTGAAGATAAATTTTCACTGAACTATGATGAATAAATTCATAAATACTGAATATGAATAAAATCATTTCAACCATTAAGGCGGTAGAAAGGGGCACATCTGTACATGCTCGTACATATGGACAGATGACACTCCGAAAACACTTTTTCTTATTAATGAGAGATTAAAAACTTGTATATTCGCATAAGCTCCGAGATAGCTTTATGACGATCGCAATATTTCTCATATTACATATATGGGCGACAACAGCTGCGTTGGAGCTTTCTCGAGGAGCTCAGCACGGTAGGGTGCCGACTCAACCCTTACCACATTTAAAAATCAAGTGCACATTTTCTGGTGTATGTATTTTAATAGTTCCTCTCGGTACCGATTTGTTTTCACGGCAACCTAAGAAGGGAAGTGACGACACACGAACAGTCTGTAAGGGGCTAATCCTGGCTATGAAAATATCCAGGTCAGACGCTCCGTCTCAGAGGAGACTGGCCCATTTAACACAGCACTTTAACATGCTGTTTTTGTACTGCATGAAGCCCCATTGTGAAGGAGCGAGCATGGCACACATGTAAGGGCGATTAAGACGACGCCTTAAATCATCTAGCGTCGTTATACTCTGTAACAGCGTCTAGCAGTAAATTGCCTGTAAATCAGAAAAGGTTTGAATGTTAGAAGCATGTTCATTACAGAGACAGAGAGAAGAATTTCACGGGAACATTATTGCAGCTTCCCACTACATGCTCAGCAGTTAAAATCTGCCCTCGTCATACACGTATTAAAAAAAAAAACTTTGATGGGCAAAGCGGTAGTGGGGCGGATTTTCTCCGAGTACTTCTATTTCCGATTATGTGAGAAATGAAGAAGTGTTAATTAGAGTCAGTGAGCAGAGGAATATCCTACACGAAATAAGAAAACAGAAGGCTAATTGAATTGGTCATGTTTTATGCAGAAACTGCCTTCTAAAAGAAGTTATTGAAGGAAAGATAGAGGGGTGGATAGAAGTGACAAGAAGACGAGGAAGAAGACGTAAGAAGATGCTGGATGACCTTGGGGACAGAAGAGGATACTGTCATTTGAAGGAGAAAGCTCTAGATCGCATTACGTGGAGGAATTGTTTTGGAAGAGACTGTGGACCTGTCATCTGACAGATTACTGATGATGATGACTTCTATTTCCCGTGCCAATTATCAATACACGAACTATTCCTCATTCATAATTCTTATATAACATCCAATTCAATAGCTTAAGAACGCGTTAATTGTGTATTTTCCTGATGATGACTTTCTAAAAAGCCGAAACTTGTAGCAAAATACTGTTAATTTTCAACTGTTTTGTTGTTATATTGTGGCAGATTTTAATAAAGAAATTTATATTCCACATTAATTATTCACCATATTATTCAACACTATATAATCTCGACAGTGAAAGCGTCGTTAAATAGCCAATTTAAAAAAGTTACAATGTTTGTGAAAGTTGCAAAAGTTATCAATGTGAAGCTGTAAGGGTTAGCTGTGAGGCTCAGTTGCGCATAGGGGAAGGTGTGGCAGGAGTTATGGGGGCTGTGCCGTGGAAGATGCGCTGTGTACCCCGGAATGATAAGTTCTCGGAATGCATAATGAGCTGCTTGTTATTTTACTGAAAATGAACTGAATACCTGTAAGGAGGGTTCGATGAAGCATATTTCTAAATCCCCTTCAATTGTAGGTCTAAAAACACAGAAGAAGGTATGATGTACGTTGGAAAGTTGAAGAGAATAAATTCTACTAATTTCTGATATGCGAAGTACAATTTAGAAGTTCGACGTTCGATTCCCGATCGTGATTATTAGAATTTATCTCCCCACCAACTAGTTCCGAACACAGTGTTTTATTCAGTCCGCACCGAGAGGAATTCCCCAGGGATGAATTCTGCTGGAGCGTTAAAGCTGATTATATCTCCCGCGTGGAGGTGGGTTCGAGTACCTCCACCGTAGCCCTGTGAGTCGTAGGAGGCGACGAAAAAGGAAGTCTTTAATCTGAGACAGTAAAATATGATCGCAAGTCCCACGGAACTCGGACCCGGGAATGGCTGCGCTGGCGAAGACCAGCAGCAATTGTAAACGACAGGCCCGCCCTCTCGTCAGAGAGAGCTCCCCACATCAACAAACCTGCAATTATCTGGCAGCAATAAAAATCTGGTCGTAAGCCGCAGATGAGTGCTTTGTTCGAACACAGGCTGGCCAACTGGCGAAATATCAGACATAGGCATAAGACAGAAATGTAAACACTGACCAATGTAGTAGCTGTAAGTTAATGGTAAAGTTATCCCTGTAACACGCCGTGAAGGCCCATAGGGTTGTGAGAAGTCGAGCCTCCAGTATTTCCTCGATAATCGGCTCACAGATGGCGATGACGTTGTCAGCCTTACGCTCCGGCCGTTCTTTATCCCCATGAAGATTCCTGGTACTCATTTACGTTAGAGGCTGAGTCGATCAGGAAGGATTAGTTAAATTGAAAAATCCAGTGACCTCATCGGGAATCGAACCCGCGACCTTCCGGCTTGTGGCAAAGTGCCTCAACCAACTACGCTACTGCGTGATCCAATGTTAATTTAATTAAGTAGGCTGACGATGTCCAAATAGGCCGAACTATTTAAAGATGAAAAGGAGCATACATTTAGTGCAATTTTGTACAGTGCTGTTTGACGGAACCTCATATATCATTAGCACTAAACACAACATGGGGCTCAAATATAATATTCCATAGCCGAGAAACTCTTCTTCTAGCGTGAGAAGCTCCAGTTCCGCCTCTCTGCTTTTTTATGATCTGATATTTATGGCTGGGGTTTATTCTGTAGGGCAGTAAAGCCTGTAACTATTTCTCCGGTTGTGAGCTTTCTCATTGGAAAAGTTTATCTTCGCTGATAGATTAGAAATGACGGAGAGTGAGAAGACGCTTCTGCCGTCTGTTACGAAACTCAGAATTTTAATTGATGTAATTTTCGCGTCTGTGGAATGAAGAGCGGAAATTGTGTTAAGAAACAGAGTGCATCACTGAAAGGGGGAGGGGTAGTAAGGGAAGCAAAAGTTGTAAAACGACAGAAGAAAGAAGGGATGACGAAGAAAGAACAACTGACTAATGACAAGAAAATGAGAGGGGGGGGGTGTAATACGTTCCTGTTTATTGGAGTTTGAAGTCGGTTTAGTATGAATGGATTTTGTCTGATCAACAGCTTCAAGTAAATATTTATACATTGCGAGAAACCGCAGTGTCCCGCCCCCCTTACTTAATGAAATACAAATATTTTCATTCAGCATTACTAATTATACTATCAGAACCACTTGTAGCTAC